TTGGCCCTCGACATTTTGTGGGTGGGTTATCTGCACTTGCCCCCCCCCCCCCCCCCCCCCCCCCCCCCCCCCCCCCCATTATGATGAGTTTGAGACCCCTGTTTTGGAGGGAGACGTCTGGGTATGTCTGGGACACACAAAAGAGAGTCCCAGAGAGAGGGCTGATGGTGACCGGAGCTCAGGGGATGACGTCAGGTTTCGGATGCCCAGCCTGCTTTGGCGTCGCGTGCAAGCTCACAAGACGCCGTTCTCGAAAGTAGCAAGCTCGCGCTGGAGGCCAGACAGCGCACAACGCTGACATCACGCCGCTGCTGTTGACGCAAATCGAGTTGCCTCGTGTGGACAAATGCGGACTTGTTCGCGCGTCAGGCTGTTTCTTTGTACTTGGTTTTCTTTAAAAAAAAGCTGGGTGCTGTCTTCACTGTCGGGCTCGTTGGACGTTAGACGGGGCAATATTCACGATCTGAAAAGTATTGCCATGTCTTGAGCAGTGCTCCAGGCAAGCAAAAAAATATTTGTAGGTCTCGTTTAGAACTCGAGAGCGAGCTCCCAGTGTTCCTGCCAAGCACGCGCGCTCGTGCAATGCAAGCATCGGTGAGGAGAATATGTTTTGGCTTGTAGTGCTTGTAGCTTCGGCTCTTCTATCACGTAAAGTGATTACACACTTGCTCATGGAGGCTATGAAAGAAAGCAACACACGCCTGCAAGTCCGGCTTCAGGGCGGACTTGCAGGGTTATCTGATCCTCCTGATGTTTACTGTATATTTTACAGGGATACTAAAACGAAATTTCGGAGCATCATCACATCAGACACACCAATCTCTTGTTGAAAAAAGACACGAAAACGAATTTAAAAAAAAAAAAAATAATTAAACGATTAGCGAAGAGCACCTGGTGGATGTCGCTAACGCCTCGTTTGTAATGCCCGTGGATCCTTGACAAGTAGTGACGATAACTGTCTCGCCTCCGGCCACCACGAGAGAACAGGGGAAGGACGAACTCCCCTCTTCTCGAGTTTCTCTCTTCTGAGTCCCAGACGTCGCTATTGTCCCTCTACAAGATTATAGAAGATTAACCCGTCACTCAAAATTCGTACAAAAACAGTCGCTTCGGTGGCTGGAACGACTAGGCCACCGAAGCGAACGACAGAAGCTGCTCAATCGAAACCGAAACTGAGTGGCCAACTAGTTCCCAGGGTGCACTGCGTGGCATTTTGCCACGATGAGCGCTTTGAATTTCGGAAGAAGTCTATTGTCATATAGATCAGTAGTCCCGTTCACCAGACAAAAGTACCCCCCCCTGGCTGCCGCCATATTGTACAATTTTGCCCGCTTGACACGTGGCCGTAGCAAATCCTGGGAGTCTTACACAAAACTGAACCGAGATTTGTATGGAGATTGCTGTAAAATATATTATAAACTATGTTTCTTTAATACTCTTAGCCCCAGAGATCAGTGCCTAGCTCCGATAAAAAACCCAAAATGCAGCACCGCGGCTGACGCCGAAGCTGCCCGAGTTTTTGTCGCAAAAACTGATCTCGTCAGTACTGTCGCACACCAGCACTACACCTCCACGATAGCACAAAAAGCAAAGGACGACCTTAAAGGGATACTACAACGAAATTTCGGCGCTTATTTTTTAGTCTATATGTGTTCAAAGGAGCAGCATCAAATCGAACATACCAATATCTTGTTAAAAAAAGTCTCGAAAAGGAATTTTAAAACGAATTAAACGATTAGCAAAGAGAACCTGGTGGACATCGCTAACGCCTCGCTTGTAATGCCCGTCTAGGAAGCTTGACAGCTAGTGACGGTGAGTGTCTCGCCTCCGGCCACGACGAGAGAAGAGGGGAAGGAGGAACTTCCCTCTTCCCGAGAACGCCATTTGTGTGTCGCAGAAGTCGCTATTGTCCCCTTTAAGATTAGAGATATTAACCCGTCACTCAAAATTCGTACAAAGCAGCCGCTTCCGTGGCTGGAACGACTAGACCATCCTCTCGACGTCAGCCTCGCCGCAGCTTTGCTCGTCCCGAGACGAACTACGTCACGATTGCGTTGGATGCCACGTGCTCTCCGCCGGCTGTTCTCCGAGCACTTGCCAGAGTGGGCCGTTTATAACGAAAAATACAAACGTGCGATTGTCATTTACAGATACTGTGGATGACATTCAACCTATTTTTTTTTAACAGGACAGGTGTATTGCAAATTTCGTGAAGTATCCCTTTAAAGGAGTCATGAAACGCTTTTCCAACTTTTTCCTGTTTAGCTTTCCTCCTCAACTCATAAATCGCGCATTCTACCAAACAGTTCAAGAAGACGGAAAGGGGGAGTCTCCTCTTGCTTGTGTCTGAATTTTGAGCCCGTCGCTCAAAATTCAGACACCAAGTTGCTTTCCCCACCCCGTTCACCCCGAAGCTGACAGTGCTGTGGAAGCTACGTGCTCCTTGAGCCAGCCACACTTTTTCCACGTGATCTCGCTCTCTCGCGCATACCCAAGCGCAGAGAATGATGTCGGGTGATGAAAGGGGGGCGACTGATTGGTCCGGCAAGCGCGTAGCTTCCACCACAGTGCCAGCTTAGGGGTGAAGGGAAGAAGTGAGGTCCGGCGTCGTGAGACGTGCGTTTGAAGCCAGTGACGAGCTGCGGGGTCCGCGGCGCGTCACCGGTTTTTTTTTTTTTTTTTGGCCCACTGAACGATGTGCTATTAGTAAAATCCCAATACAAATTGATTTATTTCAGCCCAAAATTCGTTTCATGGGCCCTTTAAAGGGATACAACAACGAAATTTCTTCTTGGTCTATTCGTGTTCAAGGGAGCATCATCACAGCAGACACACCAATCTATTGTCAAAAAAAGACACGAAAAGGAATTTTAAAACGAATTAAACGATTAGCAAGGAGCACCTGGTGGATGTCGCTAACGCCTCGTTTGTATTGCCCGTCTTGGAACCTTGACAGCTAGTGACAGTGAGTGTCTCGCCTTCGGCCACGTCGAGATAGAAGCTGAAGGAGAAACTCTCCCCAAGAGTCCTTTTTGTGTGTCCCTCAAGTCGCTATCGCCCCTCTACAAGATTATAGAAGATAACCCGTCACAAGAAAAAACGGACCTGTGAAATACACCTTTGACAAAAAGTTGAGATTGCCTCGTGCAAGCGTCGATTTTTACGGTCCATTTTAAATCGAGCCTGGTGACTTCACACACCCTATATAACACCATGATAAAAATTGCAAAAAAAAAAAAAAAAATAGAATTTTCCTAGAACCCCTGGCAAAGCTAATTTGATAATTTTGTCCAAGTATTTAAAAATATGTATATTTAGTCCACTGCATGTAAACGAATGGGCTGACAGGCTGCACTCATGTAATTGTTATAATAACGGCAAAATTAAGATTATTAAAAAAAAAAACGAGCTTGAGGATTTTTATAATTATCTCGGGAACCTTGCCACACCAGTTTTAAACCTTTTAATTAAAGGAATTTATTAAGATTTTTACGAACTTATGTTCCCCATAGTTCGAGAGAAGCCAGTCTCCCCTTCAACCCCGTCGCAACTCCTTCCTCGGGTACCTGACGGCCAACGTTATTAGTTTCGCTCAGTTACGGAATTGCTCATAGACGCTGCATGATCGAACACCCCCCCCCCCCCCCCCCCCCCCCCACTCCCCTCCCGCACCCCTCACCTCCTGTCATTCAACGCGCCGGACAGCTGGTATGGTAACTGCAGTGTAGTCTATGGAATACGTGCGTTTCGAAGCACAGCGTCACGGTCGGTGACAAGTCAAGAACGAAGTGGAAGCTCCTCCCACCCCTTTCCACTTTAGCAAAGCGAACGGTGGAGGCGACCTCCTCTTCGGCGTGCGCTTTGCCAAGGTGGAAAGAGGTGAAGGAGCTTCCACTTCGTTCTTGACTTGTCACCGACTGTAGATGGCGCTCTACCGTACTCTATGGAGCACACAGTTCATAAACGAAAATCTAGGTGGCGCTACCAACGACGGGAGGCGACTGGAGTGAGTGAGGGGGGTATCCCCTTCAGCGGGAGTTCCACAACTGAGGTAATCTAGTAACATTGCTGACGGCACCATTCTTCTACCCGCATTGCGCGACCGTGCTACAGCTATACATGGGTTGCACGTGACATCATTCAAAGAGCGCTCTGATGACCACCAGACGAGGGCAAGAAGCAGCTCCTTTCTTATCAGGACCCTCTTTAGTGCCTCCCGGATTTGCACAGGCGTCGCTATTCTCCTCCCAAAAGATTATAAAAGATAAACCCGTCACTCAAAATTCTTACAGAAGCAGCTTCCCTCTCCTCCTCTTCTTACATGGTGGTCAAAAGTATGCGATGTGGCGTCAGTGCGACCCATGTATCGCTTTCGCTTCTTTGCACATTGTGGGTGAAAAATATAACTTCTATTTTTTTAATTCCGGACAAACATTAGAATACGTATCAGTATATTGCCTTTGCACAAATTGGTCTAACCATCATTAGCGATTGGCTTTAAAATTACAATTGGAACACGGACCATGAATGGTCCGTGTTCCAATTGCAAATGGTGAAGACAACACCCATGCAAGGGTCAGCCGCCCTTTTCAAAACCGGTTATACGCAAAAAAGAAACACCCTGTATATTGCTTCGGACACCTAAGCATACCAATCCACAGAAAGCTCACTTGGGCATGCTTCAAATCCTGCAAAATTACCATAAAATACTGCGGAAGCGCCCACTGTTAACGTTTCCCAAACTTGGGAATTCGGCAAATAATATGTTAAGCGCCCGATTTGATCGGACCAGCGCCCATGCCTAGATTAAACCAGTTTTCAGTGAAAGTGGGTTGGGCACTTCCCCCGGCATTTTACGGCATATCCCCCATCGATCCTTGAAGTGGAATAAACATGGAAGGATTTGTGCGCTGGGGGGGAACTCTTAGCATTACAGACTGTCTGAAATGGCACATATACTTGCAAAGTGCACCAGAATACTTTTTTTTTTCTTTTTCCAGGAAATGTTCAACTGTGTGGGACCACCCAGTACTTCTCAGCAGCAGTAATAAAGACACAAAAAAGAGTGTTGTTTTGCTTTTACTTCTGATATGGTAAGACAATGCTCAAAAAATGAATAATGCACGTTTACAAATGGCCCAGAAACACCCCCGCCATCCCCTTGTCTAAAGAATGCAAATGACGACAAGAAACAATGAAAAAGAAAAAATCGGCACATGATACTGTTTACTCCACAGTTAAGGGTGCTTGTGTACGATAGCGAAACGATCGTGCAAGTTTAGCATACAATGATTTAGAGTAGAGTTGACATGGACCTAAAACTAGACTATCGATGTCAGTTTCTTTTAAAGAATAACAAAAAAAAAAAAAAAACAAGTTTAAATTTGACAGATCTAGAGTACCAAGTTTACTTAATTTCCCCCCTCTACACAGTCTATAGCTGCGTGTCTCAATCAAGAGGTTCCTATACACCAGAGACTGGAACCATCGGAAAAGGTTTTCCACCATTTCGACAATGAATTTCAACACATCTCTCAAGACAGTTCATCAATTGTAAGAATCCTACTTGGAAAAGTTTTTTGTTATCCTAAAAAGCTAAAGCTTCCTCAAAAATTAAGAAAAAAGTGTGGAGGCAACAATTGAGAATTTTTAATAGGTGCCCGAGCCTTGAAAACATTCCAAGCAAGGTGGAATCTGGTCCAAAGGAAACAGAAATTAGTACCATTTTAACTATCCTTTTTCCGAGGGAATAGAGGCATCCTGCATTCCTTTTAGCCTCTGGATATAAAGGCAAAAATGTCAGAATTGCCAAGGAATGCACTCAATCACACAAAGAAACCATAAATAAAATTTTCTCACTTAAAAGCAATCCAAAGACAGCACAGAATGATCTACACAAAAATGCACCACAGTGGCATCGAGTCTTCCCATTTCTTTTAACACACTGCCAAATCAAACAGTTAATTAACTCACTCGAGTCAATCAAATGCCAAGAGATGTTTCTCTCTTCCTGCTCAAGAGAGGAAGAAAACTAGCTGGAGAGGGGCAAAGCAACTGTGAAAGGAAGCCACACCTTTAGAAGATCCCTCCCCCTACTGCACACACGCACAGAGAGCGGCGGCAGCACGGGCCACCACCCTTTGCTCCCTCTTGGAGGACACTTGGTTTGTGAAACGGCAGCTTCCATGCAGGGACGGGGTGTCGTGGGTCAGTCCAGTCTACGCCTGGATGTTGGGGGGCGCTCAAAACTTGTAGTCTGGACCAGCCATCTCTATGGCCCAGCGGAACTTGTCTCGTTGGGTCTTGTTGTAGATCTTGTCGATGGGCACGTCCCACTTCTTGCACCTGCGGGTGGAGCAAACAACTCTGTTGCTTCCAGGTGAGCCCAGGGCTGTGCGCCCGTCCCCCTCTGGAGTGCACCGAGCCGCCAAAACACACTGGGTGCGGTAAAAACATGCGCACTGCCTCCTTTCATTTAGTGCCCTCATTTTGCACGCAAAGTTCTCCCAACATAGTGCTACCCGTTCCCCTACAAATAGATGATGATGATGATGACAACATTTATTTGCCTATAGATGGGGTCAGGGAAGAGGGAGTGTTGAGAGAGCGTCCCCCCCTCCCCCCTCAATCGACGGCCAGGAGCCCTTGTTCCTTGGTGGCGGCCTCGGCCATCTGGACCAGGCGGACCTGTTCACCCAGGTCCGAGCTGAGCAGCACAGTCTCCCACTGCTCGGAGGTTCTAATGTTTAACATTAAAGTTTGAGCTCTATTTCTGTTGTTTCTATGTTTTTTGAAGGAAGGATACTAAAACAACTTAGGTTGGAGCTCAATGGAAGCTCTCATCGTTTACTGCATTTGTATGGCAAACAAAGCTTTGGATGTTTCCGCAGGTTTAAACCGGGCAAACTTTACGTCGGCCTACAACCAACACAGTTTTTGCTGCGTCATTTATCTGGAATGGCGCAACAAAGACCCATACAAACGTGGCGAGTACAGCGGGACATCAATGCAGACGCACCATGCAACACTGATCCTGGGGTCGAGGTAATTGAGCTTGGAGGTGCCCAGGGCAATCTGCTTGTTCTCCTCCTTGTCCGTGGCCTGCACCTCCAGCTTCTTCATCTGGTCTTCCAACTGCTGCATACGCTTCTTTTTTCGCTCCAGAAGCCTGCATTTGTGAACGGCGCTGAAACACCCGCACTCTCCAGGACAAAGTAATCCACCCACTGTTTGTCTTTCTCCGACCGTGAGTTGTTGTAGTCTGACTTGTGCTGCTTGAGCTCCTTCTTGCACTCGCGAATCTGTGCCTCCTTCTCTTCCATCTGGGCCAAAGAAAAGAAATGCTCCATGTGTCGTGTCCACGGCAACGGCACAAGCCTACCTTCTTCTGTAGGTTCTCCATCTGCTTGTCGAAGGTCTTTGGAACAGCCCGCTGGTGGTTGCACAGGATGGCCACGGCCCTGTTGGCTCGGTTGTAGGCCAGCATCTTCTCTGGCAGCGACATGTCCGCTGCACAGACATGAGAGGGGCCCCTTGTACAACGTTCCAGGCTATATGCTTCATTTTAGTCCTTGTCTCTTATTATAGAACTCTCATACAGCCGGCGACAAAAGTTGATGGACCACGCATGCCGTGGCCGAGACCTGCAGTGCACGTCCTTCAGTACTCGCAGGCATTTCAACACTCCCGCTTGCGGACGATGTTTCGATAGCTACCGTTGATCGATGTGCTGCATCTCAGTGGCACAATGAGTGGCAGAAGCCGCGATATCAACTTCCTCTCCCGCCGGCCAGGAAAACAGCCATTCTGCCTTTTTCTTTCAGAAGCCTTTTAATTGTGTCTGTACTTGCTGTCAAAGTGATAATTAAATCAGAAAGCATGGTCATCTTCCCGGCCGCTCGGCTGGGCAAAACGATTCTATGCCAGATGGTAGAAGATATATGGCAACTTCTGTCGCTCATCGTGCCACCTAGATAAAGCTGCGGCACGGCAACCAACAGCCGCTATCGAAGCGACACCCGTGAAAATAAAAAGACGCTGGCCGGAAATGGGAAGGTCGACATGCCTGCCAAAGGATGCACATGCACACATTACGGGTCTCGACCACAAGCGCCGCAAGGTAGCGCAGCGATGCAGATAGGACACGGCTCGCGTAGTCCGTAAACTTTTGACTGGACATGAGATTTTCTTGTCCAGGTTAATTAACTAGCGTAAAAAGGGCAGTTTTCGTTCCCCGGGGAGCTTTTCCCCTCAGTTCTTCAAAGGCATCAGTAGTAACTAACAGGACAGTTTTGCCGTTTGTGCGAATGGCAATGTAGACTGGACTAGACGAGCTAAGTCAGAGCGTCAGATATCGTGGCATAACGACGTCATGCATACGAGTCAACGAGTGACACCAGACATTCTATATTTTGCTCGGATAATTATAAGATGGTCAACCTCCTTGAACTCCAATGTTGCCTCTTACACTGCAGTTGGCTCTTAGGTTTTGAGCCATATGCCACCACCGTATATTCTTCATCCTATAGTACACTGTGCTGCAAAGGTGAGTTTTAAGGAAGTGTTTCGCAACTGCGATCGGATCGAGCTGGGTCTTAATACTATCACCTAATGAAGTGCTGCAGGTGCGTCCTCGCTTCGGTCAGAAAAATGCTGTTCCAGACACAAAAAAGGGCTAAGAGGCTGGAAATATAAGTGAAATGAATCACCTTCCCATACTTCAGTAGTGGCATATGAAGTTACTGCTGAGGAAGATCAGGCAAAAGGAAAACATAGTGTAGGCACTGAGTGTAGAAAGAACCGCACATCATTTTGCTTCAACTGCCTAGAAAATAGATCAACAGCAGCCCTGCTATGCAACCCTTGCCAAAGATAGAAAATTAACCAGCCCCAAGGTCTGTACAGTAGACGATTAGTGGGAAAGTTTAGGTCCCGTGGACAAAGTCACGTTAGCTGGAATTCCGAGTGCCCCTCGTGCCTCACGGTCATTTGACCACCTTCCAGGGTCAGTGACAGGGGAGGAGTGGGCCCTGGGACAGAACATTGCCTCCCGATGCACCTTAGTGCCTCTGACAAAGACAGAAGTAAGAGGCGTGGCCTACCTTCCGTGAGCAGTTCCAGCTGCTCCTGCAGTGTCTTGGAGGCATTGTAAGTACGGAAGACCTTAGCCGTCAGGCCTTCCATTAGTTCATTGAGATGCTTGTTCAGGATGCTTGTCTGCAACACCAGAACCATTCGTCTTTATTCTAGGTTCCGCCTCCATGACATACACTTAGAGAACAAAAATTTTTTTTTTTTAAAATGCGATAAAAGTCAACCTACACCGATGGCATTGGTTCATCCACTTTAGCATTTCAAGGCAACCTGGCGCAAGTCGTCTCAAGCTGCAGCAGGATGGGTGACCCCACAGACTGTTTTACCTAATAAAATTAGGCATTACCCCCCACCTATTGCTTTCCCATTTTTTAGGCTTCATGCATATCTTGCGGCAAAAATAATTCATCTCACTCTGGACATATCAACTTTTCAATCAGCTCGATTTTTAGCTAGAAATAATTTTCTTGAACTCCCACGCTGGGACGGTGAAATTGCAGTAAAACCAAGGAAGTGGAGCAACATTGTGAGCGTTGAAGTGGGCCAAGGGCACTTACGTTGAGCCGGTCAAACAGGTCATCGGCGGGCTTCTTGTTCTCCATGAAGAGCTTGAGGTTCCTGAAGACCCTCTTCTCGACGGGGACCGCATTGACGTAGCGGATCGAGTCCTTCCCAAGGAAGTCGAACTCCACCACAAACTCCTTGCCGTCCTTGCTGTCGTGCAGGGTCAGGTGCTCCACTCGAAGCGAGCAGCAGCCCACCGTGTCCGCAGTCTCTCCTTCCTCCTTCTCGTTGCCCGCCCTCAGGGCAAGCTGCAACAGACGTCCGTTTCAGACCAACTCCTTCTTGGCTCCATTTCATGCTCAGTATGCGACCCTGCCAAAGCGGCTGGTGCGAACGCAACTCGATTGAGCCGTCGACTCGCACGCAAAACAGATGAGGCCACGCGTGTGCCATAGTAGATTTAACAATAAAACGAGGTACAGTTCTGAAGAAAGCCAATCTAAACTTGAAAGGACTGCCCTACGCACGACTGCTGCTTAATTAGAGACTCGGCAAAACTCATGAGTGCGATCACCATTGCTCACTCACACTCATCGCCAGATATGAGGCGATCGTGAGTGAGGCTACAAGTCTCGAAAAATTGAGTGTGAACGTCAGTTTTGAGAACTCATGAGTGTGATTGTGAGTTCTCGAAACTCACGAGTGTGAAGGTGAGTGCGAGTACTCAGACATCATAAGTGTGCGAGTTCCAAGCACTCATGAGCGTGAGTGCGATGATCGTGATGAGTTGCGAGTATGACGATCTGTGAACGCTAGAATTTGCTTGAACTGGTTTGGTCACGGAATTTCCCGGGGCATCTTGGTAGACGAAGAAGCTCTCACTTTGCAAATGCTGCGCCGTCTTGAGCTTTCGCCTTCGACCAGTGGCACGGGGAAGGGGAGTGGGCATTCGCTTGTCGCTTTACGACAGACGAGGAGGCACCAATGGACTGGTGGTGTTTTGCCGTATGGCATTGAACCTACAGCGATGTCGAAGCCGGGGGACCGCTCTACGTGGGGCCTCTTGTGTAGAAATTGCATGTTCCTCTCATTGTTGAAACAAAGGCTCAGGGGGATAGGTGGCCAAGTAGGCTAGCGCACACCAGCTCCGAGCACGTGGAGTGAAAGCTTGCACTGCAGGCAGAACCCAGGGATTCTGCATTTTGCACTAGTCTCTTTCAAATCTGGATGAGCATCGTACCGGCGTGCGGTTGTGTATCACTACTGCGTGGTGCACGTTAAAGACCCCAGACTAGCGGTGATACAGCACTGGCTAAATTCTTTATCTACAGCTGAGACAAGTCGCCTGTTGAGGCAGACTAAGTTCAGGATGTATAAACATACATACACCAATTTACTTTTTACCTAATGCGATAAATGAATTGTCGCATTAGGAATACGACAATTCATTTATCGAAGGATAAATATCAACACAGCAATAATCAAAGTCACCTTCACCTAATTTACGAGCCTCGGGATAGGGCAGCAAACTGCGACGCAGTGCGCTGTCTGAGCAAAGCTCATCCAAAATACCTTCCCAGCTCTACAACAGATGGTGCTCCTCTCTCTACTCTCTATTCTCTCCGCTGCACCCCTGCTCCCTCACCTCATCTGCGCTTATATTACCGCATTGGTGATCTTAAAGCAAAGCTCTCCCTCGCCTGCGTTTTTTTTTTTTTTTTTTTTTCTTGCTTGCATGAGCTAGTTTTGTGGTTCCCGGCCTTATATTCGGTTGAAAATTGAAGATAAAAGTGCAGGCCGCCGAATCTCTCCATCCGAAATTTCGGAAAGAGCGTGACGGCGTTCGTCACGCCAGTCACGGTGAATGGCTGTTACAGCTGCCTTCAAAGGGACCTGCATCGTCAAAGTCCTTATTGAATCAGAAAAAATATTCTCTTGTGTTTTCGCGTGAACCTGGGTTGTCCAAAACCACATACGCGCCTGCGAAACAAGCTTGTGCAGCAGCTGATTCCTGCTTGTTGTACAGACTCCCGGAGCTTTGTCACCTATCATGTTACTCTGGTCAGAAGCTCTCTTTTTTGGTCCGTCGAAAAGCACGTTACAAGAGACCGCCGTATTCACCATGCCGCGCCCCCAAGTTGCACCGGCAGAATGCATGCACCCCGCTTATCCACTGCTCCTCGCTTTCTTGCCTTGGGTAAATTGTCTAAAGTAGAAGCGCACCTCACAGCGTAACATGCGCATGCATGGCCGCCAGTGTGATAACAGAACTGCGGCTTTATTATAGCTACTTTACAATGAAAATCCACAAAAGTAGGACAGTTGTTATCATAAAAGCCTCTGTTATAAGCTGCATGCCATCAGTTGTCCTGTGCATTAAAAAAATTTTTTTTTTTATTCTTATTTTACATGTAACGAATTTCAGACATAACAAACATATTTCCAATTTGTATTGACTTCGTTATAACCGGGCTCGACTGGACCACTAAATAACAGTGGAAAGGTTGAAGATTCAGCACCTAAATAATTAAAAAGCATCCGATATATTTGCTTGCGCATGTGCGCACAAAAGCAACCTTTTCTGCCCCAAAGAGATAAAGTGCCTTATCTTTTGCATCTGACAAAATAAAATAATACTAAATAATTGCACATCATAGAATTCAGTTGTTTTGGCCACGGGGAACGGGATTGCTCGCGCGGAGATGCGCTCCGATAAGAAACAGACACCCAGAAACGCGTCCAAATTGAAAATATTTTCAGAACGCCGTAAAGTGCTGCGCGTGCTATATCATTCTAATGTGAGTGTATTTAGTCATTTTCGATGATGCAAAGCAAGATTCTAATTGAAACCATACCTTTAAATTCAATAGGCAACAATTTAATTGCTCAAAATGAATAAATTACCCAAAAATACTGAAAGCTAAAAATTTTCCTAACCTGGGAGAGAACAAGCACTTGCGAGTAATAGCATTCAAACTAGTATAATTGCCCTCGATGGTTAAGTCTTGTGTGGCGATTGATGATGAAGCCGGAAACGTTTCGTTACCTGGCAGGTCCTTCTTCAGTCCGTTTTTACTAAGCCGCAGAAAATTTTCTTTTTTGGCGGCTTTGTAAACTTTGATTCAATCGATGTACGGTTCATTCATCCGCATATTTTCTATGATTTTCTCGTTAGAGACCACGTACGACGATGAAGAACCAAAAGTTGGTTCTTAGAAAACATTTATCCACCAGGCAGTTATTTTATGCAAAAATACTCTGCAAGAACGATGATAAATATCTAAAGACAGACCGTTCCGAAATAGTTCTACTTGACGACGACTTGTCAGGCAAACCGTCCTACCAAAAGAGAGGTTCGCAATATTATTCTATGCAGCAGTAAAATACCCATTACGGTGCATGTCTAAACAATAATAAATAACACCCAAATATACAATGCTGCAAATGCTCACTCCATACCTGCACGAAATTGTTGCGAATGCTTGAAACGAACAGTATGCACTGTAAAGCATAGTTGATGAGACACGAGATGATGCGCCCTTGTATCCCAACAAAGCACGCCTTCCTCGAGATCTCAGCCGGCAGATAAAAAAAGTCAAAACGAAACACACACAAAAACAAAAAATACAAATAAGATTTTCTTGGCGACGCGACGGCTGGCGCCAGAGCGGTGGAATTGTATGCGCGCAACACGAGCACGATAGCCGCGACTACGGTGAGAACGATAACTATTTCTGAGTGAGGTCATTGAGCAAATGTAATGACTGTGACGAGCTGCGTGTGTGGTGACCGTGACGAGCTGCGTGTGTGGTGACCGTGATGAGCTGAGGGTGTGGTGACCATGATGAGCTGTGGGTGTGGTGACCATGATGAGCTGCTAGTGTGATGACCGTGATGAGCTGCGGGTGTGATGACCATGATGAGCAGGGAGGCGATGATTGTGATTAGCTGCTAGTGTGATGACCGTGATGAGCTGCGGGTGTGATGACCATGATGAGCAGGGAGGCGATGATTGTGATTAGCTGCTAGTGTGATAACCGTGATGAGCTGTGAGTGCAATGATCGTGATGAGCTGTGTGATGACCGTAATGACGTGGGCGAGTCAGTAGCAAAGTGGTAATTTGAGCTAGTTTGTACATCACTAATATTAAGCAGTGCAAAACGTCGGCGAAGAGAAAAGGACAGTAGAACGAAAGAACGCTGACTCCCAACTGATTTATTTAGAAGAGAAAAGCAGGAAAAAGAAGCTACGAAAATTGAACCCCATGTGAAGACAAGGGGTGAAAAAAGATGAAGAAAATATGTTCAGACTAGATCGATATATTTAAGAAAAAGAAAAAAAAAAGATTGAAAAAAAAAGATAAATGGAAAAATTTTTCTTTTTTTTTCTTATATCTATCGATCTAGTCTGTACATAGTTTCTTCCTTTACTGTATCTTTTTTTTAGTCCTTGCTTTCACATGGGATTTAATTTTCATAGCTTCTTTTCCCTCCTCTTCCGTTTAAATCAGTTGGGAGAAAGCACTCTTTTGTTTTACTGTCCTTTTCTCTTCCGCCGACATTTTGTGCGCTGTTTAGTATTAGTGGGCGAGTCGGGTTTGGTTTTGTGTTTAATCCCAATGGTGAGTGTGCGTGATGACCTTATAAATCGTGATGGTGAGTGTCTGTGATGACCCTGCTTTGAATAAATCGTGATTGTGAGTTTTGACAAGGGAAACTGGGGTGAGTGAGGTCGGCTCAAAATCTATGCTGGTCATAAACTCAGAAAGCACCTGGAAGGACTGCCCTGCCAGCCCCACCCACCTTGTCAATGAAGTAGAGTGCGACAGAGCGCTGCCGGATGCGCATCTCCTTGGACTTCCAGTCGCGCATGTAGTCCTCCCGAATGACTCCAACCTTGGACTTGAGCTTGCGGGCCATCTCATACTTCTGCATGTCCTTCTCCCCTTTCAGTTTGGAGCTGGGGTTCAACATGATGTATTTGGTCTGCCCGAGAATATTCTCAGTCCAGGACGACAGCCACGACACCGTGTTGTCGTGGCGCACCTCTTTCCAACGGTGGCCTTCGGGAGGTGGGGGTATCTTCGCTTCCTTGCCGATGTTGATGATGACGTCCTCGGGCATGACCCTACGCTTGAGCATGCCCATCTTGGGGTGCTCCCCGCGGCCACGGAAGAGCCCGGGCGGCTCTATTTTGAAGTTGCCAATCTTCTGCCTGTGGCCGTCGATGATGCAGAAGCCATACTCCTCCAGCAGCTTCTCATTCTGTGCCTTTATTGCCTGGAAGAAAACAAGAAGGCGTTCGGGGCCATCAGAAACCTTGGGCCTACGCCAACCCCAAGTGGGGACGTCCAGAGACTGGGCAAACCGACCTGCTTTTCCTCTTTGGACATGGCCTTTCGCTCTTCACTCTTCTGCTTGTAGTACACATCAATCTCCTTGAAGTTGCACTTGCTGAGGTCGGTAATCAGCTCCGCTTCCTTCGGAGTCATGGTCTTGCGCCAGTCCTTGAAGAAGTTTTTGTTGAAGGCCTCCTTGGAAGTGTAGTCGTGGTCCAACATGCGTCCGTAGAACCCTGCAACCTCCTCCGCTGCGGGACTCAGCTTGACCACCTTGTCTGCAAAGACGCCCGTGTTACGTGTCGCCCCCTCGTGGCCAGGGCAGCGTGCGAGACGAGGCAGCAACATCCCCGCCTCCTGCCTCGCCTTGCCGGTTGGCCCACGCCTTTCAAGCTCCAAACTCACTGTCGTAGAAGAAGCGGACGTTGTCGGGCAGCGGCTCGTACGGAGGTGCAAACACGGGGCCCTTGTGCTCCAGTGTCCGCCACTTCTTGCCATCGTCGTGCTTCTCCTCCTCCCACCTGGGCAAGCAAACCAGAGCCTTACACTGCACACGCTGTCCAAGACCCTATTGCCATGCTGCTTTGAGTCGTTACGCATTGCTCTGTGGCCAGTCAAAGATCCTTCTTTATCCTCAGAAACCAGAGGCCTCAGAGGGGCGGCCGACTCTTTGTAGAGACCAGCCACTTAGCCGAACGCTGGCTGCCACTCTACGAGGCTCTCAGGGGTTCCCAATCAATCCTCCACCAATTAACAATTTCCCTACCACGGATCCACACTTTTTATTTAAGAAAAACTAATCAGCATGACTCATTGTGATACATCAAAACCAATAACTGCTCCTTAAAGAAAAAAAATGGATAGAATAATGCCCGGGTTCACGAAATTTAATTGTCAAACTTGTAATTTATAAAAAAATTACAATAAAAATAAATAATTTATGGCTATATCAGATCATACCACAGCTCGCCAAGTTATCGTGAAACGGAGTATAGGCACGGCCCACCTCGCAGTGGTGCAACGTTTTTGTTTCACTTTCACGGCTACACTCTCTCCTGCAGTGCTAGGCACGGCTTCCAGGGTCATTGAACTTTATTCTCATAGTACCACTGCAGTTTGTGGTGGAATCTTGTTTGTAAATGCTTACCTGGGAGATTAATTGCAACGTTAATAAACGAAAACCTCGGTCCAACCAAGTTCATGATTCAAATTTCAGAAAACAAGGTTCAAATGTACTGTCTTTTTCTTTTTTCTTAAATCTGTTGGCAAGTTACTTATTGTGGGACCAGTGTGATCCCCCCCCCCCCCCCCCTTAATCCTTTGATGGTGACACAAGTCCAAATGTCCCCCAAATGCTCATTTATAAACTATTCGCGTCTCCAGCTCGACGCTCGCCCTCCCGCGGCAGAAACGGGAAGCGCTCTAGTGATGGTCCCCCGATTCTCCTGCTCAGCGGGCATGGCGGAACTGCTCGCGATCATGGCTCGGGAAATGTTGTTTCCGAATGCAAACAACGCTCTTCACTCTCCCAACGTAGTGCTGCAGCCGGTATGGGAATGTACCTTACTGGAGAGTTTTAGTATTGCGCATAGAAGCAAACGCAAGCAGTGTCCGTTTGCGTTAGAGTTGCGTGCCCCAAATTGTGCGTGCGCCTCATCGCCATGCGCCATCCAAGACCGCAATTTCTACTCCGCGCACACGCAGTGTGGAACGCGCAAAGCTAACGCAAACACACAGGGCTTGAGTTCGCTCGTATACGCAATATTAAAACTCACTACTGTTCACCGGCTTCCAACACGAACGAAACGTGCTGCAGTAAGCAGACGTACAAGCAGGTAGGCGTTCCTTCGAACTGGAAAGGCTGAGATTGGCAAAACGACGGCGAGCAAATACAAAAGTAAACAAAGGTAATGAAAAAACTAGTAATTAAAAAAGGGCTTTTTTTAACTTTTGGGCATTTGATCTGGAAGTATATTGGCGGCGACTTTGGACGTTTCGCCGATTGTCAAAAGTCGCGAGTTTGATGGCAAAGTATACTTTACATGGATTAACTTTACATGGATTTCTCACGTTAGCTAGAATGTTTTAATTGATTTTAGACTATTTTTTTATTTGGTAATTAGAAATGCTGCAATTGGCACCAGTGATGATAATTAACACACTTTTGATTGTCATATTTGTTTGCGTGTTTGAAATTAGATCATAAGCAACAAATATATCAGAGCTTGAAAAATTACGTATTAAAATATCTGAATTTATTATTATTATTATTATTAATATAAATCGCGGCAACGTATGCCCCCAATTAACGCCAAAATCACGAAAATATGCCATTTAACCATAATAGTCTTTCCAGAAAGTTATAATTTTGTTCTTTTTTTAGCATACGAAAAACTGATATCGTTATCAAGATGGACAAACAGTCAAACACTGAATGCAATATAAAGTCCTATGCGTCAAGCGTTGCTATAAAAAACACACACACACTTCAGCTGTCTAACTCGAATTCCGTCTTTGGGTTGTTGCAGTGAGAACAGCGCTTATTAATTTATACGTTTTGTGGACATATTGTGAAAATTGGAATTATTCTCTTATTCTTGTGCTGGGAATTATGTTAAACCAATTAATCATCTAAATGCTCAAAACCCATTAAAATGCCCACAGTTCATTATTTCTCATTACAATTATCTAAGTGAGAAAACGCAGCAAGAACGCACAAATATCAGCACTGATTTTTTCAACAACCACAACAACTACGATTATCAGCCTGGATCGAACATGTATGGCACAAAAGAAACTTTCCACGAATAACTTCTCTTAAATTACGATATGAAGCACGTCTTGAGTTATGAAAGAATTCGAAATTAAGATCTATATCGAGAAAAAATTAAATCCAAAATATGGATTAGTTTCGGTTTCGCCCCAGAATTAAAACGAGCATCCTTGCGTAAATATTACACTAAACACCGTTTTTGTTTCCAGGGTAAAGAGGTGACCTGCGCTCATAACACCCTAGCTTCATGGTATTGCCAGAAATAATTTGTGACACAGAGTGAAGTCAGCACCCTAGACAGGCTCAACAGCGGCACGCATCTCCGACCCTCACTATAACCGCCATTTTGGAAAATGAGTCGCGCCACCTACAGTTAGTTGGAGTCGCGAATAGCCCAGAGATAAGAACCCTTTTGGGACATTCATTTGTTGAGAAAGGCGCTGCTCCTAAGGGAAACCCACCATTTCCACACCTCCACTTCTTCCTCCTTCTTGGCCCTGCCCTTCTTCTTCTTGGAAGCAGTCGGCTCAGACTCTGTCTTCACCTCCGTCAGCTTGGCCTTCTTGGGCATCGACTTCTTGGCCGGCTGGACCGACAGATGCGGTTAGAGCAGTCCACCCAACAGAAAGTTGGACGCAGCCCCAAACTCCGGCACGGAAAACAGGCTCACCTTAATGTCGTCTTCGTAGTCACTCTCGTTGTCCGCCTTGCGCTTCTTGGGTTTTTCCTCAGACTTGACCTTTTTGGTGGCTTTCTGGGTCCTGGTGACAAAACACAAAAAATTCCCTTTTCACAACCGTCCAACAGCCATTAAGCCCCCAAGAGACCTTGCTAGGTCGGTCGGTGGCGAGCTTGCTCTCTCACCCCTAGATCCTATTCATTTATTGATCTAAAAGACGGCAAACCTTTTGGGCAGGGTAGTCACCCTGCACAAAATTCAACCTTCATATATTACCGTAGAATACCCCACATCCGCCCATTCCACATTAAGTGCCTATTACCAAATTTGTGAGATCTGAGAAAATACGCACAGTACATTTATATGTAAAATTGATGATCGGACAAGTGCCCACCCCCCATTTTTTTGCGATTATCTCCAAGGTTTGAGTGGGCGCTTGCCCGGTATTTTGCGGTAAGCTCCTCCTTCCCTCCACTTCGCTCACCCTCCCCCCTCCCAAAAAAAAGAAAAAGCACGAAGAAGCAGCGCAACTGTAGTTACGCCACGAAAAACTGTCTACTGCCAACAAATGCCGTGCATTCAATGCAGAATTTTTTCATCGTGTAGTGCAAATGCATGTGAACATCAACAAAACCAAATTTATATCAACGAGCAGAACCACAATGTGTTGCAACCTTGAAAAAGTTAAGACTTGCTTTTTCTGATAACCAAAGCTTGCATGAACACATGGGTTACATTGTAAATAAGGCAAGCTGGTCATTGGGGTTCATTAGACAAAAATTGTTTTTAGCATATACCAAAACTAGTCTTCTAGCTTTCAAATCATTCATCAGGTCTCAGCTTAAGTATGTGGCATCATATGGGCTCCTTATTAAGGTTATCTGAATAATAAAATAGAAAGAATTCAAAACAAGGGACAATATTTCATATTTAAGGGGGACACTACCCATGAAAAAAAATTTTTTTTTTTTGTGCAAAAAGCAACGATTTTGAAAAATGGCATATTTACATCCATCAACACCTAGAGTATTCACAGAAAATTTCACTTGTTTACACAGCAGTTTTTTTTTCTTATTTTATAAATTCTTTTCGGTCCACCGACGATAAAAAAAAAAAAGGTAAAGGTTTGATACTCTTGAAGAAGTTTTTCTCCATTTTATTTTTCAGCATAAATTTCGCCTAAGAAAACAATTGTTTGGTAACGGGACAAATGGAAAGGCTCTCTCATAGTTTTTCTTAAGCGGAATCTAATTGGTCATACAGTGGTGGCATTGTTTTTTTTACTTTGTGGATTTCTTGAGAAAAGATGTCAAGATTTTGTCGACAAGAAAAAAGGCAAGAAACCTGTTTGATTTTTCAGCGCGATGTTAGCATAAAATAAATTACTTTTTGGAGACTGTTTTCACAGTTGCACTCCCCAGGCATTCTGCTGCGTATCTAGTGAAGAAAAATGTTGGGTTCTACATTAGTTTTCTAACGATAGTTTTCCTAAACAATGCCAGTGTGTTCCTGATAAAAACTATAATTTCTTTCACAATGAACCCTTTTCTGAATTCAGTCTGGCCACTTTGATAGCTATCATCACCTGAAAAGTGGCATATGTGCTACACTAATGGTGCCCTTCAGTTTACTGATGAAGGAAGAAGTTGAAAATGCTCCTAAACAGATGATCTGAGGACTATACATTCTAGACGTTAGCGCGACGTGAAGCAGGAATTGAATGCAAGAGCTGCGTAAGCATTCATCTCTAACTTGAGCCCAGTCAATATGCTAGTAGCACACTCTCGGCTTCAAAGCCCCTTGGTGTATAGAACTTTATCAAGGCTTCAAAAAATCCTGGCTACGTGCCTGGTTGGCGCTTCATTCTGACTGGTTGCATCTTTCATGCCATTAACACTGAAAGGGATAGAAAAAGAACTGCACAGTAAAGTGCACATTCTCGTTTACCGTGGACCTGCGAAGGTGACGGCGCCCCATAAAATACAGCAGAGTATGGGTGTTCCCCCCCCATTGCTGCCATTAGTACTGTAAAAGTTAAACTGCCATTTGAGTCACCAGATGGCATTGAATTCCGGAACAGGTCCATTCAAGTACATAGATGAAACTTTGGACTGCATTCTGCCTCACAACTGTCAGTATACAGTGTAAATTTCATTCATATTAAGCCGAAGGTTCAGAAGTTTACCCTTTTAGGTCCTCCCTTAAAGGGGTAGTGCAACGATTTTGATGTTGAAAGAATTGGCAACTTGTGTTTTTTATATTGTTTATCCAAGCACAAGGAACCAAAAACACGTCGCCTAAAACGCGTCAGCACCTCATGAAGTTTATCAATTAATTTGTTATGCAATATGCAGTCAAAAGCCTTTGTCCATAAAGGTGATTTTGACCCCGCTCATTCGCAACAGATGCACGCTCATGCATACACTCGATTGGTTGCGTCAACAAACCTTTAAAGTTCTAAGTATCGAATGATATGTCTATAAAGGTGTGTTCCAAAAATGATGTGGATGTTAGAGATATGGTACGGTAATATTGAACCTTTATTTCATTCTCACAAGTTGCGCACAGAGCTGAGAAAGTAAGGGAGAGAGAAAAGCTGCTTTTGTATGAGTTTCAAGTGAGGGGCTAATCTCCAAAGGGGTAGAAAAGAGAGGGTAAGACAGGAGTTGCCCTTTTCCTACCTCTTCAAGTCGGGTTACGCTTTCGCCCCCATACGTATGATAGCACTGTGTGCAACTACTGAGATATAGAAGCGTGTAGTGCCCCTCCCCTTCTAAAGTCTGCCTCCCTTTCACAGCAGACTAACAGCTTGCTTTGGAAATAAACGCAGTTACCTGATGGAGAGTGGCTGGTCTTCTTCAGAATCAGACTCCAGAGCCCGTTTTGCCTTCGGTAGAACCTTAGGGTCAGACAACCGTTGAGGTTTCCGTGCAGACTGAGGCCCCAGAAAGCAACAAGAAAGAGGAACAAAAAAAAGAAATGAATCATTCCTGGGCCCGTTTTCTCGAACGCGAACCGTGGGTTAAAGGTAACTATTGTCACTAGAAGGGGGAATTCTAGGTCACGTGACTGGGAGAGCAGGGGCGCCGAGGGAGGAGCAGTACCTACAAGCAAAATGGCCGCGACGTCGCTTAATGAGGGTTAATAGTTCTGCTTGGTTCTGCTGAACATTCATTTCGATCTGGCTGTTATATTAATGACGCACCATCAACCTATTAGCACGTCAAGCAAAGCGGTAGTTCACAGGGAGTACTAAACTAACCGACGGCAGCATTCCGCGAACGCATCACTCTTCAGCAGTCCGGGATCCAAGACATATGACGGTACATAAGCCTTGCAAGTGTTTTTATGGTGAGTAAAAAAATGTTTTGCGAACGAGTGTTGGTATATATTTATACTAACACATTTATTTTGTTACACTATGCACGCCAACTCGTGAGCAGCGATTACTTTGCGGAGAAAGGGGGTTATCCTCGATAAAGCCTTCGTTCTGGGTGAACAGCTGGGACATTGTACTGTTTTTTTTTTTCGTTCGCAGTGCGCCGACAGTACGCCGACAGCATCGAGGTTTCTACATATCCCCGGTGGCCAGGAATTCAACGGTGACGAGAAGCTTAGCTTCTCGTCACCGGTAAATCGGATGGGCAAACGGAAGAGAGGGCAAACAGTTTAGATCAGCAGGAATCGCAGAAACGTGCGTCGCAAGGAACAAAAACAAGACTACAGCACCGGCGTTGCCAGACTAAAAGGCACACAGAAAAGTTATGCCTTGTTTATGGCAAAATATATTGAAGGAAATGTTTCTTACATTTTCGACTATTCGTCGACAAACTCTAGCACAGTAGCTAAAATTTCTTCGTACCATCTGAAGAAAATAAATTGGTCTTCAAGTACAACATTACTATATTTTGACTTAAAATACCACACTAGATCGATAACAACCAGCGGAAAAAAAGGATAAACAAAATGATTGGCTTGTTTCACCGATAGATGGCACATCTTACTGCCCAATCAAAAATAATTATTGTTGTTCTATATCCAGCCGTTTATTACAGTTACCTAGGTACTTTTTCCTTCCTAGGCACCGTGGTTTACCAAAATGGGTTTACCATCGCTTTGAGAAAACCCGCCCTGATAGTAGAGTGTAAAATGCAGATAGAGAGACCAGCGTGCAGGTAAAGAATGCGATCATGGAAGGGTACGTCTGGCTTGGCACTTTGGCCGTGCTCCATCAAATTGGCTCCAGTGGACACGATATGTACTGGAGGCACGAAGCCGCAGGAGCGTTCCAAACAAGCTCACCAGAGGCACGTCATCGTCGCTGAGCACCTCGCCCTTCACCTCGCTGATGACAACAGTCTCCGTCTCGAGCGTCATGCGCGGATGAGGCGGCGACGCAGCCTCGGGCCGAGGGGCCTTGGCCGGGGAGCCCTCCTTGCGGGCTGCCTCTTGCTTCACGGTCACCTTGGACCCCTCGTGGCGCTTGTCCGAGCTACGGTGCTTCTCCTGCGCCAAACCGGCGCTTGCAGCGAGACCGTACCTAGCCCTGACCCAAAGTTAACGCCTCACCTTGTCTCTGTGCTTGTCCTTATGCCTTTCCTTGTCCTTGCTACTCTCCTTGTGCTTTGATTCGCCAGTCTGGCCATCTTTTGAGGAGGGCTCTTTTTTCACCTCGTTCGTCGAGTCATCCTTGGGCTTGGAAGATGACGACTTATGCTCCTTGCCAGAATGGTCTTTGGAAGAAGAAGAAGACTGGTGGCCGTCTCGGTGCTTGGACGAAGAAGAGGTGCCTCCACCGGACCTGCGAGCCGGCCCCCCACAAAGTCTGGTTTCCCGCTAAGCCTAGCGGTGCACACAACTAGCAAACGTCCCTGGGACGCACAACCCAACCCCACTCGTGGCTATCCCTGACATCCGCTCGTCTGCTACCAACGCCACCTATGCTTACAATTAGTTGTGACTTTACCAGTGTCTGCCCTTCCTGACACTCGGAGCCCCGTGTCACATCTGCGCCTGACCGAGGCGAAGAAGGGAAGCTCCGAGGAGTCGGTTCTTGGCTGGCTTTTTTCTGGCGGGATTGAACCCAACGATGAAGCAGAGGCCAGATTCCCAAAACTTTCTTTTGAGAAAAGAGTTTGTAGATTTATTTTACGACAAAGTTACAAACTTTTTAGTATTCCCGAAGCAAAATGTTTGCAAGTTTTGCAGAAGTTGCAGATTTCGTCGTAACTTACGCAAAACTTACGAACATTTTGCTTCGGGAATACTCAAAAGTTTGTAACTTTGTTGAAAGATAAATTTACAAACTTTTTTTGTCACAAGAAAGTTTCGGGAATCTGGCCTCAGAAGCCTAGTTGCATGTTCTGTAAAAAAAAACGGTGGCACACATAAATGCCTCAACAGCATCCTTCAATGGGGACAGGTACGCCATTCTTCACCAATGCTACAGCTACATCCTATGCAGTTCGAGCTGGCTGAAATGCTAGGCAACACACGTGGTGTTGGACCATGCCACAAATGGCACGAGTGGACTCCATGACAAATTTTCCTTTAAACATTGCAGTTTGCATATGGTCCATTCCTGCTGGAGAAAACTGGGCATGTTTTGTACCTCATTCCTAAAGCAGAGATGCCTCAAAAATTAAGTGTGAAGCTTTTGAAATGCCTTTTTTTTTTTTTTTTTTTTGGTCCAGGTGCAAGAGGAAAAGCTACTAGTGCACAGGGAATGGTCTTCGCTCACCCCGAGGAGGACTTGTCTTTATGCTTGTCCTTATGCTTGTCCTTGTGTTTGTGGTGGTCGTCCTTGTTATGCTCCTTGCTGCTCTTGTGGTGCTTGCTGCTGCTGTGGTGGTGCTTGTCCGATGAGGACTTGTGGTGGCTGCTGCTCACCACCCCATTGATGCCGTTTGTCAGACTGCCTGAAACTATAGATGTCACCATTTTTTCAACATCCACGCACTAAAATTAACTCGCTCGTCAATCACCGACAATGCCTGGCTCCCCAACCTGTTAACTCCAGCAATTTTTTGAGCTACTCCAACTATATATTCAGAATCAATGGTCTTTACTCTTTCTGGAATGCTGTTCAATATCGCGAAATTCAGAGTAGTTATTGTGAATGATGCCAAAACCAACATTCAAATATACCTGCGCTTTTCAATGCCGTGAAGTTGGGGGAAGGCAGGGTTGCAGGTTGAGTGGGCAGTCTCAAAATGGACTATGCAGAGCACTAGTTTCGTGCTGCTGCACAAATGCTGCAACAAGCTTGCAAAGCATTCATTTGACACCCTGAAACTGCTTGTAATCAGTTGGGAACGAAGTCTACAGTCCCAAGAACCCCTGCCTTCCCCTGACGTCACTTTTTCATTGTTGCCAGTACAGACTTGTACTTTGAAAAACACGGTGAGGACCAAAATTGTAAATTCAATTACTGTGAAAAATATTCTGGCCCAATATTTGGTTAACTATTTCAGCGGTGTTCATTGGTGTGTTTATCAGATCAGATTTTCAGACGAATCGGGGAGTATGAAGAAAATGCTGGAGTACTCCTTTAACCCCAACCGTTGTTTTTTTCCCTTCAGTTTTGAATTGCAAGTGCAGCTTGGGTTGTATGTGTCTCCACAATCGGTCACCATCCTTAAGGTGTACAATAAAAAAAACACGCACTCCTATTTCTGAACAGTGCTGCAAACTAAGCTGTGAATAAGCCTGGTTCGTCCAAAACAGCCAAGGGGCGAGGTAAGGTGCGCGGACTGGCTACACTTGTCCTAAATGGTTTGGGGACGGCTCTAGGTGGACGGTATGCATAGTCCAAAACGGTTAGGGGTTAAGGGTCGAGTTCCATGACAGCACTGCCAACTATCACGTTAGTGTGGCGGCACAGCCTTCTCTGCAGAGGAAAAGTCTGCACCTTCCACACCATAACAATAGACAGCCAAGTCGTAGCAAAGAAGAGGAAGGGGCAGCAGCAGGCTAAGGCAAAAAGTTATGAACCCAGCGCCGAACAGGTGGCCTAGCAACCACGTGCCAAACCATTCTTTTTTTTCCAGTACAATTGGCTCATCCTACCCAAGTTATGAAACATGGCACAACTCCACCCTCCCCACCTATGACATGATTTGTTAACATTACCTTTGTTCACACACACAAAGAAAAGGCTTTTTCTCACTTATGGCTAATTCCACTGGTCTTTTTGGAGTGCGCCAGGATCGACTTTTCTGGAGCGCACCTATTTCACTGGGCAATTGGGATTGAGACGGACGTGTTTCACTCATCATTTTGGATCAGCTCCCACTTAAGATCTCGATTCGGATCCGAGAAAAGTCGCTCCGCCGATTTCGGCGGATTCAACCGGAAGCCAGTCTGGCCAGCCCTCGGTGCGCACTTGAGACTTTCTTTCGTGTTGGGCGTCTCGCCTCGGAAGAATTCGTAATAACCGCTCGTGAAGTGTTGCCCGCTTTACTGCTGCTGCTGCTTGATGACAATCTGTCGTCGAGTTGCTCAAGCAGCTCCTCCAGCAGCAGCCGTCCAAGTAGCAGCGACAACGAGGATTGCTTGTATGTCCCGCATCAATTCGACTGCCTTCTCGGACCTCCGCAGAAGAGGCCGAAAATCGAAAAGTACTTGGACACCGTTCACGAGTATCCCGATGAAGAGGCAAGTGGGCTACGCTGATGCACATCGCCTATCGACACACATGTTTCACATCACGATCAACTTTGCTCGTGCGTTGAACACGTGTTGTTAGCGACGAGATTGTGAAAACATGTGCTTCGAGATCCGGGACAGCGGGAGGGGGATTCTCGGGAAGGTGGATGACGGGAAGGCATCTGCCGATCGCAGAGGAGAGGTCATGTTCAATTTGGGATCCGGACGCGGAGCGACTCCGTTCGTATTGCATGCTCCATTTCGGATCTGGACTGGTGATCCTGGCACACTCCAAAACGAACAGTGAATTCGCCATTAGTTTTCGTGGCCAGTTCTGGAGCAGAAGGTGCAGGCTTCCCCCCTACAGTGGTAGATAATGCAACTCTACAATTTCTTTTTCAAACGAAATAAATAGGACTCAGCCATTAACAATAAAGGGGAAAGTACCATGCCAAATCCTTAAAAGGGCCCTGCAATCATATTTAAACATCTACCTTTTTTGCGGTTTCAACGTCTCTTGGGGTTCGGGCAAGCCAGCGGGCACGGAGAGACTAACTAAATATCAGTGCCCATCATATTTTAACCCGACGACGCGGAAACCTCCTCCACCGATGGGGGTGACCAACGGTACCGAAAGCGCGCAATATGTGACGTCTTTGGTCCTGGGCTTACTACTGGTCAGAGCTGCTAAAAGCCTCTTTCAGTCGAAATACAAAAGATAAGTGGCGCAAACCGTGTCAATTATTTATAAAAGTAGTTTTTGTTCGGTATTTTAGATCAGAAAAGAAGCAAATGCAGTTCATAAAGTACGGAAACAAGAAATGACCCGTCGACACACCCTCCACCAACCGGTGGAAAAGGCGGCGCATACTAGAAAGGAGTAGTGGGATCAGGCGCCGACACGGAAAGGTCACGGACGTATGCGGCGGCACTGCGGTCGTATGGACAGGAGGATCCGACCGGCTCCGAGCGTTCCGAAGGCCTTTGGCGAGCAGCTTTGTCTTGCGGTTTGGCTGTTTCGCGGTATGGCAGCGCGAAGCAGCTTCCATTCTGAACTGATCTTTACCCCGTGTTTGCTGTCATTTGTGGCCAATGAAGTGTCATGCCATATTAGTGTTTAATCGCGCAGCAAATGCAATGAGAGCCGCTCTGGCTGCCGGCTGCATACAGCCTATCCAGAACATGCATTAATGGCGCCCTCTCGCGCCGTCAACACGGAGTGCGGCAGCCGTGAGCGCTCGCTGAGCTCACTACCCCTCCTCTTGTTCACAACCACTTAAGCAACCAAGGACGTCATGAGGGAGGTTATTTTTTGCTTGTTTTTGTCATTTTAATTTGCCTATAACTTTTAAAATAAAGCGAAATTGGAGAAAAGAAAATTTTCATTAAGCTACTACATTCAGTGCGCTCAGGTTTGGTGCAAATTAAAAACCAGTAAAAAAAGTCCTTACAGGGCCCTTTAACTCTAGCAAACAGCAAACTCTCCACACTTCCAAACACAGGTTCGTACAGAATTTTTGATGCAAGATTCAAGGGCATTTTAAGGATTTCAAGAGTGTCACAAGACAAAATTTAAGGTAACACAAAGAAAAAGTGGCAATGACACGGGACACCTTAGACTGGATTGAAGCACCTGCTAATACAGGGGCATGTTGGACAATACAATTAATGCGACGAGTTATGCAAGTGTTGGCGGCTTCGCAAAGAGTATCGCAAGATACAATCTTAGCCGGATTAAAATTGTAAGATACATTTCCTGCGCACGGAGCAGGCAAATTTTGCAGAAAGAACACATTTTCCAATGGTCAAGCTGACGGCAATGTGCCTGGCAGCAAAAAAATGATGCCGCCATGACGGTTGCCAAGGCAATCGGGCGAGCGCTTTTCTCCCGTGATAATGTTGCACGCCACTACACATCGCCATGGCTAGGATGACTCAAGAAAAGCACTGTGTTCATTGAAAAGCAAGTTTCCAAAAAGAGTGCACTTCTTTCTTTTTCAATGCTATTGGACTGTGTGCATTCTGGAGTCTGTGCTTCCGCATATGCCTCCCGTGAGCAAAAAACTTCTCAAAGCACTGAGATTCACAAAAACATGTTCATTTCCCAGTTTTCAAGGAATACAAGGAGTATTGCAACTTCCAAGGAGACTGAAGGGCCCTTCAAAGGTCTGTATCCAAATCCGAGGCATTCAAGAATTTCACGGAGCTGTCTGATCCCTGCACAGAACAGGTACAGATGTCCAGCATGGCAGAAAGTGCTGTACTATGTTTCCTGCGTGCTATTTCAGGCTGCCTCTGTTATCTGGTGCCAGCAGTGTGGGGCATCAACCACTAGCAAATTACAGCTGAAAGATTTCATTCATGTTCCTGTTGCTAACAAAGTGCAATGCAGTATGGAGTACAAATTGAAAACAATTTCAGAATGGAACAACTTGTGCTCATACTACAGCATTTATTCAATCGCTTTGTTTAACCTCGAAATTCTGCCTCACACAAACGGAACAATCACCTTGGAGTACCCAGCCAATGCAGAGCGGTTTCTTGGCAAAACGACCTAGACCCCGGAGCGTGCAAAACACATTAATTATTTTCATTTCAGGACAACTTGTTCACAGTCAGAGGGCTATACAGACATGTTCCTGGGAAGGCACAGGTGACAGTTTTTTTTCTCTACAACTCGCCCGTCTGTTCCGAAAGTATTGAAATGAATAGTCTTGTGCGAATAGTGGATTTTGAGTCCGAAGCGAATTCGTAGCAAATAGTGGTTTTGGCCGAATATGTTTGATTCCAATATCGAATAGTTTTTCCATGCCTTTCACTACCATTGCATAATGCTTAGACGAAAACCCAGCTAAACCTGTAAAGGTTATTCCACTTTTTCATTCATAAGCTAAGCTTAATCTAGCTATATTTATGAACTGTGATCTCAGAAGGTCTGGTGCCTTGGGATGGCGAGTAAACGATGGATTTGACATAAAATGAATCCTATATAGATGGCCAACTATACCAATTGAGTGAATTTACGAATCTTGATATATAAAATATTCCTTCTTTAATCTCGAGTTAAAAAAGAATGAGTCACGCATGATGAACACAGGTTGTAAAAGCATCCCTGCCTAACATAGTATACACCTTTCCAAAAAACCAAACCGCTCCAAGGCCACTGCCATGTTGCTGATGCGGCTGGTGCGACTCTCGCGCCCTCTATCAGCTAGAAATTTTCTGCCACTCTCTGGGACTGTGAAGACCTGCTCAGAGCGGTTCTCTACCTACGTTTTTGGGGATTTGCATTCAACGTTTTCTCGCCCCTCTTGAAAGTTACCACTTAATATTTTTTTATGCGTGCTGCGTACCCTTATTGTGTTATCTTCCATTGTGAGAAATAAGGCTGGTAAGTGCCTGCCATTCAAGCTTTTCTGCTCGACATTCACGGGAAACGAAGGAGGTGAAGGACGTCGAACGACACTCGACGCGATTTTGCGAACATTGTTCTCCCCCCTCCCAGAGATAATCCCCGTAGAATCCTCAGTAATCTCCAAAAATAGTTGTCCGAGTTGGGGTGAAAAATGGGTCAGTCGCGTTTGTTTCCTTGCCTTGGTGCGGTTGTGAAAAAAGGAAGTTCTCCCCAAAACGTGCCCCAAAACGAAGTCATCCCGGATTCTGCCCGATCGTCAAGATGTGACTGTCATCGACTGTGACTGTGTTATTTTGAGATCTTTCTCAAATAAATTCTTTTCGGATAATGCTGCATTGTGTGGTATGTACAATATATTGTTCCAATGTTAACACTTCCTCAATTGTACGTCCGTGTCCTGTACATCGGTAAAAACATTATTTGTGAGCGTGAAAAATGCATGCCTTTCGGCCCTCTCCTGTTGCAATTTATTTTTGTCAGCAAAGCGCTTTGTCGTTTCACATGCGGCGAATCCCGCGGCGCCGTCAAAACTTATCGTAAGAAAAAAAAAAATAACTAGAACTATACATTCTAGTCGCATTCATTCTGTCGCGCACGTACCCAACAAAAATAGTTTACAGTTTTTCGTGCCTTTTTTTTTTTTTTTTTAAATGTGGCACAATGCTTTCTCAATGTCAATGTCCTCGGGAAACATGAAACACAAAATATAGCGGGAAAAGACGAAAATTTAGCCGCCAGCAGCGTTTGAAACAGCGCCTACGCAGGCTGCGCCTCTTGATATCACAGTCCACTCGGTTAGGGTTAGGAGGGACGGTGAGGGTCTAGCCTCAAACTAAATGACTGGGCTCGAAAACAGCTTGTTGCCCCTGGGGTCGAGTGTTTTTTGGAAAGGTGTATACTTTTCCATAAAAGTTTAATTTTGAAACTTTTACTACAATGTAGATATACACATTCACAAAGTTTCCATTTATTTTCAAATACAGTCGGCACGGGTGCACCATCCCGCTTTGAATGTATGCTTTTCTTGAGCACGTAATTACGATATTGTTTATCGCGGCGGGTTACCCCGTTAAGTGCGCTTTTTTGCGAGCACCGATGTAATGCGGAGAAGCAACACCCGCGGAGCTCACTTCCGCGGGTTTTGCTTCCCCGCAGCGCACCGGGGCTTGGTAAGAAGTGCACCCAGCGGGGCTAACCCGCTGCAATCAACACTTCGAAAAACGCGAATAGTGCAGTTCTTTTCGAAGCGATTATCGAATTGTGTATTATTCAGAACTACTATTTGAAATTTCGAATATTCGCAAACAATAGCAAATGAATAAAAGCTTACAAGTGTTGTCAGCATCCAGGGAAATTATATGTCATTTTGTGCACCCTTAAACTACATAAAAAAAAAAAAACTTATTTCATGAAAAAAAAAAAGTCTCGTAATTTTACACGCAGGTGTTACCATGAACGATTCAATTTGAATCTTGCAATATTAGCTACCTAGGTAAACAACTTGCATTAGAGATAGAGGGTCACTATGTGATGCTCAGCTTACTAAACCTGACAAACCAGATTTAATTGAGATCACGAAAAGTTCCCTTTAAACGGTATTGTCTTCAAAAAATTAAGACGCAAAAAAAAAAATTAAAACGAAGCTCTATAACGAGTTGCCGTTTGCAAACAGCTGCGCTTGGATAGATATTTGTTGGCCCAAAGGGAGTCTGTTAAAAAAGAAAAAAAGCGCACTGCCTCGAGCTTCATAAGAGAGCGCGCTTGGACGAGAACGTCACCCTTTGGCCAGCAAGGGACGTCGCACGCCGATACCACGCGGTCATCGACGCTGCGCCTCGGTGAGAGGACGGCAAACTGGGGATTCAAGTGTCGCAGCTGCGACGTAGTTGGGGCAGGCTTCCGCGATCGGCCGCACACTTCCTCCGGATGGCAAAGTGGAATTCCCTCGTTCAGCTCTGGTACTTCCGAAAGAAACGGTCACTGGCGTACGAGAAGCGCGAAAGCTGCAGCGAATCACGTGGAAAATTAACATCCACTTCGGCACACGCGGGCTGCGGGACAAACGTTGGCGCAGCAGTAACTTCCCTACACGCGCCGATCACGCCAGGGACGAATAAGAAAGAAAAAAAAAAAAAAGACTTTTCGCCCCAGACTCTAGGAATGAACTTTAACGATGCTCCACAGCGTACGCTACAGACAAACGGGAGAAACACGCAGAGACCTGGGTCTCGTTAAGATCGCTTACCGTGTAGGACGTTGTTGCAGTCCCTTGTGCCTTCGTTCGGCGGCTGTGGGAAAAGAATCAAATGAAGCCATTTGAGAGTCAAGCCCGGAAAGTGTCCGAGAACGACGCTCAAAGGCTACCGCTCGCGGAAGCGGTGCGATGGCCGCCACCACGCTGGACTTGGCCCCTCGCACCAGTTCGGGAAACAAAAGCTACCGGTCGTCAAACTGGAAAAAGATCTTTCTCTAACGAACCACGCGTGAAATTCGTCCTTTTCCAGGTCACCGATTTCCCCCAGCGAGTTCAATTTGCGAGCACAGTCGCGCAACCTGCGACTTCTGCCCGATTCAACGAACGCCGACGAACGAGGACTTAGACAAATTCGTCGCCATTGCGACTTAGAAAATTGCGGCTCGGCGGCGCGTACCCCCCATCAGGTTGGAAGCTTTAACATTGAGCGTAGTCACAAAAATGACCGTCTCTCATGGTGGACTCGTAGGGTTTAATCGAGATATACTCACTTTGATCCCCGTTGTTGCACCGCCTTCGAGAGAATTCATCTCTAACATCACAACCCCCCGGCAGAACAACAGCCTTCACTTCCAGCACACTATGGCGACAAAGACCCGTCGCTGCGCCGTAGACTAAGTCCGACACTTGCTTCAGTGCGCATGCGCGGCTGTTCACACATTGCACTACCACAGCCTGAGTGCGCATGCGTCCAACTACGAGCACGGAAGCTTCCTACACCTCCCATTGAGACTCCCATTTAAGACGACTACAGCGCCAAATCTCATACGACGGGTGGCGGGTTGCTAAAAACTGACCGAATCATACCTCCCTTTGAGACTCCCTTTTCAGACGACTACAGCGCCAAATCTCATCCCACGGGTGGCGGGTTGCCAAAAACTGACCGAATAGATTAGGCCATTCGGCAAAGTACGGCACATGCCGAACTTTCGAAGGAAAGTGCAGCAAATACGCTAAAGCTTTGCGTACGCAAAAAATTGCGTCGTCGCCACTAAGCATGCGCCGAACGCAAACCACGTTTTGCGCTTTGCGCGCGCTATTTTAGCGCACGCTATTTCCCAGAAATTGCGTGCGTATGCAAAGGGTCTTTGCGCACCTCCAAGGAAAATTCGTATTGAGAAGTTGGCTAAAGCCAACACGAGCACAGTTAAAAAAAATGGCGGCCCCCAGGACCATGGCTGCGGCCGTTTTGACGGCGTCGTGAGCGCGACGTCGGCGGCATCTTAGGGACTGCGATTTTCAAGACAGGACGAGGTTGCACTCGGTTTGGAAAACCCAGTAAGGTGGGCAACGATCACCGGCAACTTGATGCTTGCGACGAGCGAACATTTATCGGCAAAGGTCAGTCTTGACGAGGCGACGCATGCGGACACGACCGGTCGACCGCTCGCGTCGCATTCTCACGTTTAAACAAATGGAAAATTGTTACTCCGGACCAAAAATCTTGTTTTTTCTCAAGTTACAGCATTTCGTGTCTGAAATAAAAATCGTGACTCTATCTTGGTGGCGTTGCAAGTGCGAGATGCTTGGGATTTTCCGTAGCGGCGGATAAAAGCTATTCTATTCGCCAATATTGCAACCTGCCCCCTCCTAGTACGGCGCAACGGTTGCCGACGTGGAGAATCTAACATCCTTGGTTGCCGACGGCCGATGAGCGTGATCGTATGCTCCGAGGGTATGTGGAAAACCGTAAAAACTGTGTTCCGTTTCGTGCGAGAAAATGAATGCTACAGCTGCTGAGCCTACACCAGAAGAGAACTTATTGTAAATGTGCAAGTTTTCTTTCTTTTTTTTTTTGTTTTCAAATTTATGTTACTTTAGCTTTAAATAAAAGTCTGCGTCTCATATTCGCAACGTCTCGTTTTTAGCTTTTAAAATTCCAATTTCTGATGTTAGGACACACGCGGACGTTTAGGAGTTAGGAACGTCGAATGTGCAACGTCAAGCATAATAGTTCTGTTTATATTTTGTGCCGAAACAAAATATTTTGTTTTGGCACAAATTACTTGAGCCGAGAACAGGGTTGCTATACCCACGTAGCACCCAATGTCGTGCGAACATTCCCTGGGTGTTCTGAATGTTGAAGGAACGTTAAAACACCATTCGGAACGTTTTAGGAACGTTCGTATGCTAACATTCCTTACAAGGTAAGCTGCTCAACATTCTAGAAACGTTTGTTGGCGAACATTCGTATGCACAATGTTCTCGGAACGTTCCCTTTTGAACATTCATATGTGCAACATTCTTGGAACGTTCGCTTGCGAACATTCCTAGAATTTTCACAGGTGAAGCCAACTTTACGGAGCTTTCAAGCAAATTAAGTGGAGGTTTTGGAAACTTAGCATAAGGGATCAGTTCTATCTTATACGAGTCTACCGAAGAATGTGAGATAAGGTGTAGAAGAAAAGCAATGGTCTTCAAAATTTGATAATGAGCTTGGCACTCACTGCGTATGTAGAGGGGCAGTTTTGAATAGAGATTTTTATGTCCCGCTTGAGTGTGGGATGTTGTAGGTATCTGTTCTTTTGCTCGGAGTGAGTAATCGGTTATGTATGCAGCACGTTTTGATAAGTAGGAGTAAACTGTCGTTATAGTACAGGCTCTGGCTAATGCGCTGGAAAAGCGTCTAGATTGTGCTAGGCCTGGAAAAAATAGATTCCGATTAAAAAAATATTGATCGCTCTGTGAGATTATTATATCAATATGTGTAGTACGGCTCAGTGGGGCTGTAAGCTAAGCAAGCCATAATTGTGGAATCTGTGTAAACATTCCTCAGAGAATGTTGCAGTTATCTTGGGAACGTTCTTAAAACCTTGTTAGAATGGTGATTAAATGTTCTGTCGTGCTCAGAACGGTCTAAAAATATCCCTTAGAAAACATCCCCCGAATGTAGCGAAAAGTGCCTGCGCCACATTCTGACAATGTCGATAGAATGTTCTTACGTAAATTTGCAACATTCAGAGAATGTTGCAGAAGTTCTTTGGATGTACTGAGAACGTTCTTAGAACCTTGTTAGGATGTTTCAGTGTTGATTGAATGACCTGGTAATGTTCTATGTCGTTCTCGGAACGTTCTAAGAATATCGCTTTAAAGACATTCCCCGAATGTAGCGATAAGTGCCTGCACCACATTCTGACAACGTTGATAGAATGTTCTTACGTAAATCTTCAACATTCCAGGAATGTCATCTATGTTATTTTGAACATTCCCGGAATGTTCTCAGAACGTTCTCATGCTACGTGGGTAATGGCGAGGAGTACTGCTGTAAAGTACTCGTCAGTCAATGATGTAACTGCCTCGTGCATCACTGGAAATATGAAATGAAAATCACGTTATCTAGAATGTATCGCATCATATGCCACTTTTGCAGTAGACTGCGTCAATTCCTGGTCATCTTCTGTTCTTGAGGCAGAAATTATTGAAGAAAACCACACTCACAAAAGCTGATAAACAGTTACCATTTACTCGACACCTGGAAATAACCGTGCTGGTAGTACTGCACTGTACGATGGTAACCGCACGACCGAACGGCGTCCATTTGCAATCCATGGCCCTGTGGCCCCGTCGCGTTCTCGCGCGTGCGCAGGCGTTTGCCAAATCTTTGCTGAACTATCCTTCAAAAGTTCAAAGCTAGAACGGAGGGCGAGTGCCGAGGCGCCTCGCCCGGTTTCTTTCTCTCTTTTGCTTTCTTGCAGCAAGCTTACTGTATGTCCCTTGCTGCTGCAGAGTGGCATATGACTGGCATATGAACAAGTTGAGGCATCCTGGGAGCCAGTACATCTCCAGCACAGGGAGCGTGGGGAACGACCATTTCTGGAAGTGCAACTACCACACTGGAGTGCTTTCGTGGGAAGTTTGCCACTTGGTTTTGCTCCTGGTGAGCCTCGAACCTGGTGCAACCAAGTTCTTCTGTGTTTGCAGCTGCTTCCTCCGTAGCACTGGCCATCTGGGCAACTTTGGTGAACGTCAGTTCAGACTCGGCCAACAGTCGGCACTGGAGGGTCTAATCGCACAAGCTACAGACCAATCAGTCGCACATCAAACTTGCAATGACCAGAAAGCTGCTGAAGTGCAGCCACGTATGCCGGCACTCTCTCCTTGAAGCTGATCCCATTTGTTGAATCGAAAGCGTTCCAAGGTGACAGAGGGCTTGCCGACGAAGTGGGTGTCGAGTTTTGCCACAATGTCGGCGTGCGGTGTCTCGAGAGGTGTCTTGGGAGCACACAGCGAGCTGAGGAGAAAATAAAATTCAAGCCGTTCCCGATACACGAGCCAAGCGGATGACTGATTGGGTAAAACTCGGCCAGGGCGAGGTATGGTGGACCTGCAGCAGTCGGCGTCTCACCTTCCTCCAGGTCGGAGAAGAGAATTTCGGCGCGCAACGCAGGGCAGCTCGCGCGGGACGGAAGGTAGTATGCCCAGACGCTGTAGATACGTGGAAGGCAAGCCCAGGGATCACTTTCCTCGTTGCCATTTATCACACCTCGGCTATTACGATACATAAGCAGCCAGTGTGGCTAATGGTGATTACAGGGACCGCTAGAGGCGCGCCCGGGTTCATGTCTCTCTGGATGCGTGATTCCATCGACGTGCCGGTCAGTGATACTGGTCAGTGTGATATATGAATACGCAAAACCCACCCAGTGTTGCAACTCTTTCTGTTCTATTAGCCCTGAGAGCGAACACAAGTGTCGCTGCGGTCGCAGCGCCCTGGTTGGGTGAGGTGTACCGTGACGTCAGGGGGAGTACTCCGCTCCGCGACCTCGCATCGGCTCGCTTCCCAGCACCGGTTTCCCGGTTTGGTGTTGTATCCCGGAAGCTCTTCGGGGAGCTGGACTTCGTGTACCCGGTGTACAAGATGTTGAGTTAGGCCGATATTGACGTGCTTCCGTACATTTTATAAGCCTGCTTGCCCCTTTTACCTTTAAAATTGGGTTACAAATCCCGAAAGCTTTCGGCGGAGGCAATTCCGCCGATGAACTTCCCCGTCCGTCCACACGACACAAGGCAATCTTGCGAAGGGTCGGTGAAGTGGTGGCGCAAGTGTTTCAGACGCTGGAATTCTGTTCCTTGCCTGTTCATGATTTAGGACGATATTACATCTCGCTTTCAAGGCATTTGAAGTGGCATTTATATCACGGGCCTTTGGGTGGTCGGCAAATTAGCTCGCGACCCCGACTCTGCGCTTCCACTCTGCATGCGCTGGTTCGCAGATGTTTTAAAGGCCCTGCGTCTGATGATCTTTGAAGTGCTCGTGGAATAGGGCTGTTTTACATAAATGTAGCTTCTTCGTGAATTAATTATATAGTTTATACACGTATGCAGCCATATTTCTTAAAGATGCAACATTACTGAAAATTAGTTTGTATGGTAGCAGCAAAAACGGCCGAAGTGCCCCCAGTTGCCTGTATGATATGTATTGAATTGCCCAAAATATGCACAGCAATGGTGCCGTAATTTGGAATGTTTATACTTTTTCATGACATTCTTTATTCCAGCCTTGGATATTAAAAAAAAATACACCGTTTAATCTGAATTGTCATTTCCAATTAAAAGAGACACCGCTGCAGGTCCCCAAAAGCTTCCTCAGCCTCCAAACTCCCTACAGCTGGACTCTCTGACAACAGAGGAAAACAGGAGTAAAAGCAAGCATTCGAACGTCTGTCCAGCGGTAGATGCAGCACTAGTAGCAGAAAATGTGAAACCTGTGAAGGGCGACAGTCTGCGTGAGAAAGCTTCTGGTATTTTAGCTTCAGGGCAGTTCGATTTAAGTAAAGTCTCAATTTTAGGGCTTAAGGGACTAATAACGAGCTAGACATCTTCGCTTACGTTTGTTATACATTTCTTGAGGGTTGATATAAACAAGTCCACAAATACCACCCGTGTAGTGCCTTGAAATACTATCCAAATCCAGCGAAGGTTAAATGTGAGCAATGTATATAATAAATGTTCCTTGTTTTTTTACTTTGCTCCTGCACTTGGGCTGTTTTACTTGTGATTCTCTCCCCATGGCCCAGACTGTATTTAGCATGTTGCTCGAGGAGTATGCAGCTTTTCTGCTTCGGCGATCTTGTTTAACAGCAGAGATACAAAAAAATAGTACACATAACCTGCCAATTCATTCAGACCATCAACAGAATTTATTGTGCGAGATGTAAATCTATAATGATGCTCCTGCAATTGTGGCCATATTTCTTTATATTCATATACCAGCTCCGATTCATGCGTTGCCTGCCCTGTCAAGCATGCATAAAATGTTGGTTGAAGTTTCACCTCTAGTTACAGGCCATACCCCAATAAAGGCACATATAAAAATTTACACTTCCTACGAAAAACATGCCAAAAAAAATGAAATAAAAACGAGCGCGCCGACAGCTAGCGTTGTCGCAGCCTCCACAGGCCGAGCGGGGCGAGTCGGGGAAAAATTCTCTCCTCGCCGTGACGTCACCCCGGTTCGCCGTAAGGGGGCGCCACGCAAACTTCTCGGGGCTAATACATGCACACACACCGGGAATCTGGATGGAACGGACAAGGTCATTGGTCTTGCACTAATCTTCTCGCACATTTTTCCCGAGCCTAGTCTGCTCCATCTAGTTTTAAGAACAGTTGTCTGCTAAAGCCTTTTAGAAATTATCTGCACTGCCTCGATGGTAACATGTCATCCTCCTTGTGCAACATAACAAAACAAATGCCACGGTAAAATTGTTGGTTTATTTGTCTTACTTTTTTGCGTGAGGCATTAATACGTAGCCCTCAGAGAATAAACAAAGTTATCGGTGGGAATCCCTGGAACTACTACAACAAAGCACAATCTTAACTTTTTCGTACACGATATTCACCAAAGCCTTCCAAGAGCAAACAACAAAAATCTCGGTGTGTATACTTGCGACCACTGAAATGAAGCACAGTGAACCATTCGAGTAAAATGAATAAAAAAGTATACTGATGCACTCTGATATGCACCAAATTATCAATTGAAAGTCCTTCCAGTGTTCCTCCGCAAGACTGATGGGCTTGGAAACCAACGTACGCATAGACGTCAGAAATGAGACAGATGTTCTAGCAGGAATGTTGCATCACCACTTAGTTCTTCTGAAATGCAAACACGACGTAAATGCCTGGAAATAAAAAAAGTATGGGCTGTCAGTTATTCTTTTTGACAAACAAACAAATCACGGACATTTGTTAACACTTCAGGCAAGGGATTGGTAAAAATTGCTACATACTTAGTGCCTCCCATTCTGCCTTTGAAAGGGTTCCCTGCAAGAAAGACAAAGAAGACATTTAGGCACGAATAATTACCTCCTTTGCTCCAATGTCACGTGAGAATGTTCGCATGTGGAAAAAGGTAAAGCCCCTCTATACTGGAAGTAGCGCCTCACCCCTTTTTCCTCGAGAACTTCTCACTCTTTTCCTCTCTCCGCTAATCTTCCTCTTTCATTTCGACGCTATACTCTGTTCATCCTTAAGCCGAGACTGCAGCCCATGCCACAAGCACGAGAGCTTGAGGTCGCTGCTTTAGAGAGTTGTTCCACAAAGCGAGCACTCGCACTAGAAATGCACGTCTCAAAGCTAGGAGCACGAGTTAGATCGTGCTCGTAGCTTTGCCCGCAGGCTCAGCTTAAGGGTGAACGGCGTATAGCACCTCCTAGCAGTGGCGTGACTAGGGTCAGCAGCACTTGGGGTACTTTGGATGAACTTATTTGGCAGTGAATTCCGATCTTCAATGGTCTGCACGAAGTATGAGAATTTGAATGCGAATACACCTTTATTATTGCTATATGGCCTGATCAGTTTAGTGCGATTAGTTCCACCTGAGTCATGAGCTTCGTTCGATTTATCTGCACTGGCGTAGAAAAGTGTAGGGCAGTGTACTTTTGGTATGTGTATTGAGACACAACCGGAAGTACGCCGCCCTACACTTTTCTGCACCGGTGCAGGAGGGGCAGGGAAATCGAACGCAGCTATTGTATATAGAAAATTTGTAGTGAACATAAATAAATTTATAAATAAAATGAACAATACAGTAAATCTGTTCTTCACTGTTGTAATGATAATATGATACCCGAGGCAAAAAAGTTTCATGTCCTACGTATGGTGCTAGATATGGCTTAAATTGGGCCTTGGCAGGTGTGGAGACGTGACTGCACCGAGCTCCAAATGGATTTTGGGTAGCCACTGCATCCCTTCAGTTGAAGCAAGCCGAGGGTGCAAGGGCTGTCTTCACCAAACTCCAAGAGTGCACGAGTTTTGTCGACAAACCAACGAGGAACTCGCAGCCGAGATATTCTTGGCTCCCACTGTGCTAGCAAACATAAAGCCCTCAGGCAAGCTCCCCCTTGCATACGGCAACTTGTGTGCCATATAAAAGACCTACCACTAAACCTTGAATTGGAGACTTACACTTGAGCCAATGTCAAGTAAACCAGAACCCATAACATGTACCGAGCGAGGCAGAGCATTTCCATGGCGAGCCTTTTCATTACAGGTTTTTTCGGCCGAGTCTCAATAATGCTTCCTTATTTGGACATGCTTCGACACAAAGCATATGGACATACTGTTCGTCCACACACTAAATCACCCGCTGCATAAATCTCTACAAAATATGTTTTGTATTTAGAGACCATGTCTTGGGGTTCTTACTTTATATGTCATTACAGTATTAGTGCTCAAATGCTCTAATATAGCATTTGAGCACTAATAAAAAATATTCCGACTTTGGTTCATTGCTAAATCTAATACACATTTCATTATGCTTATCTAAAAAATTATAATTTTTTTTTGGTTTTTGGTCTGGTGTTTGGTACGACACGCTGGTTCTATTACACAAGCTACTTTCTAACAGCCATTTTTCAGCGTTGGAATCAAAACAAACCAGTTTTGGGGAAATAATAGACCGGTAACTAAACTTATTACACAGAGATAGACCGGTAACTAAACTTATTCACAGACACCCACAAAAAAAACGAAACAAAATTAATTTTACGATAATAATTCCTGGAGAAAGGGAACATTGACAGAGGACAAACACAAATTTTACGGCTTCCGTAACCAAAGTGTTTTGTTTCCCCTCGGTTCAAGTCCATGGTAGTCAGCCTAACAGCTGTGATGAGCAAAATAGTTTGCCAGAGACCGAAACCACAGAGCTCACCACTTGAAGTCTCCGGTTTGATGACGGGTCCTGTTCCTTGAGCTTCTCAATCTCCCTGCAAGCGTGTTCATAATCTTCGGGATCCCTGCCCATAGGCGACTGGCCTCCTTGCGGTGGGTAGCCCTGTTTGCGACGGGCCAGTACAAAATTAAAACAATGCCACACATACCCTCCGGAGAGCTATTTTAAATTTCCAGAGGCAGACCTCGAGTGCTTGCATCTTGCGAAGAAGTATCTTTCCTTCTGCATCCTCCTTGTACAAATTGAAGAAGTCTTCAAACCTCTGCTTGTAGACGAGCAGCAGGCCAAACTCCTTGGCCAACCTGTCAACAGAATGTCCCGGTACCCCAATGGTCAGGCGCTGAAAACCCGGGTCAGCTCCACTGCAGACTGGACGAGCCACTGTTTTGCGGGCAACACAGGAAACAAATACGTGCAATCCCACCGGGCAAACACTGACACCTTCCCCCCCCCCCCCCCCCCCCCCCCCCCAAAAAAAAAAATAAAGAATTTTTTGGGGAGGTGCCAGTGTCCCTTTAATCTTCATATTCATGGAACCCAAAGCAGGAATCGGTTTTCGTCTAATTGACTCGAGTTTTACAACAAAAAAATGAAAACTCGCGTCCGTTTTTTTTTCTTGACTCGACCGGACTCGGCCACAAACATGGGGAATCACGTGGCCGTGACGTAAAGTATGCCTTTCTACCGGAAACTGAACTTCTCCCAGCAGAGCGAGGGAGCCGTGTCAGTCAAGCGTCACATTGCGTCATGACATTTTTGCGTCGACGTTTCGACACAAGGACGTCGAAACGACGTACCTTCTCAGGTTTTCATGAACGCCGATTGCTTCATACGACTCGTTAGTTTGCGACGCTTGAGTGATCAATGCCATGGCTATGGATGCATTGCAGCTGAGTGAAGTGCACCTTAAAATGTTTCGATATAGTGAAAGTATGGGCCTTGTTCCATACGCCGGGATGTGGCACAACGAGAACTCGCCCGCGAAGGCGATCAATCAGTACAGAATAATAGGGTCACATTTCGGCTGCAAACACAAAATGCTAGAAACCAAGTAATATAAATTCCTAATAATTTGTTCCTTTGTAGCATCTGCAAATGCTGAACTGCGATGGCCACAGCCACCGTGCTTTAAAACGACGGGTACATTACAGAGAATACTTATCTTTGCGTTTTGTGCCTGGACCCCATCGTTTTGCACGTAGAGAAACCTTTTGTGCTCTCGTTGTTGCTGCGGCTTATGCAACTAGACATTGAACTGTGACTTCCGTCGAGGGTACTCAGACGATTTCATTGCTTGCGAGCACAGTTTAAGTGACACACTAATCGTATCCAATACGGAAGCTAAATTCCACTAACGTGCTCGGAAAAAAGTAGGAAAAAAGACGCACAGCAGATGTTGCAGTTACTTTGCTAGGTTGCGCAAGCTATCGCCCATTACAGAAAGTATTGCCACACTCGTTCATTATTCTACCCATTCATGCACTCAGGTTCATTGTGAGTGCTTGGGGGGGGGTATAAGATATAGTCCGCTTTTATTTGCCAAACTTTCATGCCAAAAATTAGAACTTAGCCTTCCCAATCTCCCGTGCTAGTTTTCTTTTGATCCCTTAAACGATATGCCTCGTCTTAAAGCGCTACTATGCCCCTGACATCCCAATACCAACTAACCGAGCATTCTGCATTAATAAGTAAAATTCTGTCTAAAATCGTTTCATGGTTTTTTTAAGTCAACTTGCTGGTTAAGTACACTCAAGACAGAAACTGCACAGCCTGCCCGATGCTCTCGCTTTCCCGCCAAAGAATGAGATGGAACTAACTCTTGCAGGACGTCGAAGTTGACGAGGAACTCTGGACAGTCGACGACGCCCTCAAGATGGAAGTTGTACTTGGCTCCAAACAACGGGAGTGTGTCCTTCGACCCCAGGAACTCGACAGAAAACACATCGTTGCCAAACTTCAGGCCGGGGGCCTCACGCACCCTGCGTCTGCAAGTCAGCATGCAATCCACAAGGAGATCACTGTCAATTTACAGTACTGCAGCAACGAAAAGAGAGACACCACATCTGAAACTCTTGAGTATTTCTCAATACTTGCAAGATGCCAACAGGACACAGAGAGAAGTAATAACGCTGCATGCATCCTAGCCAAACAGGTCCTGAACTCACTTTCCCCATACGAAAGAATACCTCCAAAATTATGGTTCCCCTTTTCTCTTCAACACTACTAACACCACTTCACTAAACCAGGGGCTACGCAAGGTGTCGGCTACATCCGTGACGACTCTTTTCCCCTTAACCAGGAACGTCCCCAAACTTTGTCCACACTAGTGTATGTGCCATTCTGCATGCCCAATTGCTCCCAAAATATTCTGGTCTATACCACTGCTCTCAATGATCTTTTTTGGACCTTCCTGCACGGGCCATTCATTGTTCTGCAGTATGAAATAAATAAATAGATGCGGAGTCAATCAACGAGGCTGGTAGAGACACCATTATGACATCAAAAAGTTATTTTTTATTTTTTTATAGCACTCATAGTTTAGTGTGGTTAGATTGCACTGCCACTGCTAGCCTCGGGGCTTGGGGGCAGAGGTAGACTCGGACTAGCCTCTGTGTTCGAAGATAGACCAATTTTATGTGTGCTCTCGGAAAAGTATGCGATTCAGAAGCACAGGCCACGCAGTTGTGATACGGCTAATGCACACAAAGAATCAATCCTCAGAAGTTGCTCTAAATACAATTGGATCCAATTTGCTACAACTGCTATATAAATCAGACAGAAAGAGTTCAGAGCCAAGCAGCGAGATATGTAACAAATATAACAAATAACTATAACTTCTGCGATAGCACCTCCAAAATACAGCTCTTACTTTCTTGGAAACCTTTGGAATTAAGGAAAAATGCCTTGGTTCCAAGGGTTTCTGTATAATCTAAGTGATAACATTGGTATATATAAATCTAAACAGATCCTTCCACTTTCATTACATTTCTCATAGAGTTCATACTGTTGAGTTCATGTTGAGAGTTTTTACTGTTTTTCAATTTTGCTCATTGATGTTCAACTGTTTTGAGCCTGCGACTCCTCTCCCTGTGATGGCAATCTGCATCTCTCCATTTCCACTGACCAAGCCTGGGAATGTAGAGCTTCAAAGCGGTACATACACCAGGTCGTTGGCGTCGGGAGTGGTGCCAATAAAATAGCCGCCGGGCTCGAGGCACTCTGCAGCGTTCTGCAGCATGCACCGGGCCTGGTCCAGGCTCTCGAAGCTGTAGTGGAAGGTGAACTGGCAGCTCACCAGATCCAGGCCAAGGTTCTTGCGGCGGTAACGGTCCTTGAGCCGTACCTGCACCATCCCAACACGGTTTTTGCGACACCGCCACCACATTTTTTGCCCCCACTGAATCTAAAAACTCGTAGGACTCCTGGGAACGTCCCCTTTTGTGGCTCGTGGGTCATGGACACCCCGATTACAGCTACACGGATCCTGGAGAGGTAAACGATGCACGTCAATAAGCAGAAAATGCCAGAGCAAAGCAACTCGAGAGGCCCATCATTGTTCGGTGCTGCAACATAGATTCATGAACTCTGTCAGCGAGTCTTCACGAAAAAGCACTGGACCGCATTTCACTCAACTAGGCTATGAGGCACACTCCAAAGAAGCCACAGGGTCATGTAGCCATGTTAGAATGCCCAGAAACCTGGGGAATAATGGGCATTTATATTTAACTACAGTTGTAAAAATGTCCACTATTTTAAAAAGAGTTGTAGGAAAAAGTTTCAAACTCATAAAGACTAAAGGCTGGTTCACACAGCCCAGTTTTCTTGCGTTACGTCAGGTAACAAAAGCTTGCACCACAAGCCACCGGGACATCATACTAAAGGGCAACTTAGGTCAATATTTTTTCATTTGGGATTACGATTGTTTTCGGCTAAAGCAGTGTCCCTGAATTACAAGGTATTTTTTTTTTTTTTTCTCGACATTGTGTGTAGTTTTATAAATATCACGGCTCAAAGTTTGGTTTCAGGCGTCTACGGCAAAACCAAAACTATCTGCCAGAGGGATGGCAACACTGAATATTAGCCGCGCGGCCGCGATGTGACGTCGTAAGGGTGCTGCGGTACAACCAATCAACCGCAGCTCCACTGCGATATGACGTCAGGAAGGTGCTGCGCCAGCGTTCCTAATTAAAAGCTAACCCACTTGTTGCCTGCTAAAGAGCAGCAGGTCGCATCTTTAAAATCGGGTTCAGTGGCGAATGCGGCTTCACTATTTCGGCTGTGATCATATTTCGTGCCACTAAAGCGATACAAGTAATTTATTTTGGTTTTGTTTTCCACCAAAGTTGCCCTTTAAGCGTGGCTGCCAGCTCAAGAAGGTATTCAGGCACGCAACATTCGACACACAAATGTTTCGACGAGTTGTATGTAATGTAACAAAACATACGAAAATGGTGCTTTGTGAAGCAGCCTTAAGATGGAATACTTTTTAGTACAAAAAAAAGAGGGAAGAAGCTTCTTTGTATGAACTTGGAGGCAAAAGAAAAGCCACATAGGGCACAAAAGCAACATTTGAAGAGCTCAATATAGGGCACTGCAGTTCACTGAAGCCAACAGGATCTAGCTACACTGCTCAGGGGAGTGCTTAAGCTCGCTCGTGCTGCACGAACATGGACTACATAGCAAAAACATTGAAACAAACTATTTCGAAAATGATACATTATTTAGACAGAATAAATCTGCTTTCAGTCTATCTGAGGCCGACGAGTCAGGCTCAATCTGCCACGCGTAACACACAATATACAGAATGTTTCACTCTAACTTCCTTATGTAGAAGTTGCGTGCCCTCTGAGGTAAACGGACCAAACCTTGGTGCAGTCTGCCTCAATGAACTCGGCATCAAACATGCCGCCGGGCTCCCTTTGCCGCCGTTGCCTATCCGAGAGTTCTCGGTAGCGCTGCTCCGCATGTTCCAGCGATGTGCCCGCAATATCTGCAAGAAAAATCCAGGCTCTTGGAGGCAAGCTTGCAACACCTGGTGTCACTTCCAACTACACTGGCGGGACTGATCCAGTCAAGAGTGCAATGTAGTTTTTCTAACAGTAATAAGTGTTCAAAATAGTACTGGAATGCTCTTTGACACATGCCCACTGATCTAAATTGCATAGGAAAACAAAAAGTTAAAATGTTTTGTGGTAAATTGGTGGCACAAGTGTAATATGTCAGCACAACATGGGGTTTGAGAGCTTCACTGACCTGCACAGACCAGGTAGGAGATGTTGCCCTTCTTCCACTTGAGGAGGTCCCCTCCTTTCCCGGCACCGAGGTCGAGGACGTTGAAAGGAGCATCATCGACTTTGTCGCTTCTTCGCTTGTTGATGTACTCCCCTGGAGCATGGAGAAGCCAATGCAAATTACCAGCGACTGAGTTGGCCTGGCCGTGCCCTTAGGAGCCTCCGATGCTAGTCAAACACTGCTACTTACGAATCAGCATGCTTTTGATCCAGTTATTGAAGTTTCTCATGTGCAGTATCCTGCTGCGATCTCTCTCCTGCAAGCCCCCGTTTTCGAGGCTGTTGTAGTGCTTCTGCACGACAGGCGCCAGGCCGCCCTGAAATAGGAGGGCTCGTTATACATTGCTTGCAAGTGGCGTCATTCGCGGCCATACCACTAGTTCATGTGTAGCGTGCGTTCGGTTCCCCGTGTTAGTTTTACAACGTAGAATAGACCTATTGCTAAAGCATCAAGGAGAATGCAGGGATTGGTGTTCCACGCGCCACACGCGCACGCCTTCCCCGTATAAAAGATGCGAAGTAAATAACCAAAATAAATCGTTGACGAACGCGCGTGCAAGATGCAATTTTTTTTAAGCATTTGCTTTAGAAAAGTTACTACTGCTGAGGCCAGCACGTGCGGCGCGTGGAACATCAATCCCTGCATTCTCCTTGATAGTCGGGTAATTTAGCAATAGGTTATTGTGGCTGGAAGAAACGAGGAAGTAGAAATAACCGTCAGTACCCAACTATGGCGACACTTACAAGCTATGTAAAGGAAAGCATCAACGCGGACATAGAAGCTGTTTTGCATCACGGCAATGTTTCCGTTGGTCCCTCTGCATTCGACCAGCTCGTCTCCACAAACGGTCTGTGCTGGCGTACCGAGCGAATTTCCTATGGTGCCTCTGAAGGCCCAACTCCGCCGTTTTCGCTCACCTCCTCTCGGACATCTGTGCTTCCAACTTGGTCTAACGACATTGCGAGCTAGTCGAGCCGCCTTGTACTGCTTGTAGGTACAAGAATCTGTGTACGGAGGCTTGCAAGGCTTTCTGCTTCTGTGAAGAGATTCAATACTAGAAAAGTTAGCCGCGGCTTCATATGACGGCTTTCTCAGATCTACCACATAACAAGGCGAGTAGCGAGGAGCCAAGAAAGCAGGTAAACCCGGTAAGGGATAAAGTGGATAAAGGATAATTAGTGTTCGACGGGTGAGCACTGCAAGCACTGCAAGCTCGTTGGTGTGTTTATGGGGTCATGCTGGTCATGCTATATATAAAAATAAATTAAAAAAAAAAAAAAAAAAACGAGGCAACGAGGAAAGGAGGCAACCTCCGCACAAAAAGTGAGTTGCCCGGCGCAAACACAGATGGCGCCACTCTCAAGGTGTATATATATGTAGGCTGTTTAGGCTCTGCAAGCAGAGCCTAAACAGCAAGGAGGTTAGAAGTACTAGGAGTGGGCACGTTGCAATATTGGTGAAGCCTAGTCATAAAAAGTTTAAACGATTTTGTGCCCAGCGTGACCGCAGATCTGTCTAGCGATTGGTGCGCGTGACATGTCACGTGCGAGATGGATGGTTGATTGTAGGAGGATTTCTTGCAGGCTTGCGCGCGCTCCGTACGGTAGGTTTTATCAGATCGAAGGCTAGGCTGTGGTGTATTCTAGTACACGATAGCTAAACGAAGGCTAGCTACGGTCACGTGATGTAGTGAGAGTGAGGAGAAAAATGCGAAAGAGGCGAGGAGTCAAGGAAGCATGGCTTGTGGAGCCTACGCGGCTGACGTCATGCCCTTTCCTACCCTCTATACCCTCTATACAGTTACTCTAGGTGTATCATAGAGATCATACATACTAACTAGGCACTGATCAGTGCTAACTAGGTGTATAGAAGCGCTCACGTGGTGGGAGGTGCTCATTACTAAAAACTAAAGAAAACAGTATTGAATCAAACTTCATTTACCTCTAGTTTTAACTGCAGATTATCTTACTAAAAATAAATTAAATATACATAAAAATATAATATATTTTTTTTCAGTACGCGTCAACATCACACTCTATAAATGTGTTTTGTTGTATTTTTGCGCTTCTGAAACGAAACCGCTGCCTATGCGCATGCGCGCCTGCGCTCTGCGTGCTCCAAAACCAGTGGACTCATTCAAGGCCACTTCCTGTAATTGGGCGTTCACAGCGCCCCGAGAACAGCACGAGGAACTTTTTTTAACGAGAAAAGAGTCAAAGTACAGGCTAGCTGGTGGAAGTCAACCATTTCGTCGTTTACCCTGAGACTGGGGGGGGGGGGGGGGGGGGGGGGTTTGAAGAGCAGAAGTAACAGAAACAGACAGATCTCAAACTCAGCTACACGTTTATTTCAACAACTTCCTCTTATATAGTTCGTTCTCGTCGTCAACAACCAATCACATACGACTTGTACTTTGCACCGTGACTTTACAGGTTCCACTCTATCACAAAAGAAGCGGAAACTTGGAAACGTTGGGAGTGTCCGCTTCTTTTGTGATAGAGTGGAACCTGTAAAGTCACGGTGCAAAGGACAAGTCGTATGTGATTGGTTGTTGACGACGAGAACGAACTATATAAGAGGAAGTTGTTGAAATAAACGTGTAGCTGAGTTTGAGACCTGTCTGTTTCTGTTACTTCTGCTCTTCAAAAAAACCCCCAGTCTCAGGGTAAACGACGAAATGGTTGAACTTTTTTTGTTGTTTATTAATTTATTTAGACAGTCTCACTTGGTCTCACTACACAAATTGATTATATCTACGTTATCATTACGAGTACTTTGAAGCATAACGATAATAATCTCTGGAGAAGGGATTATAATCTTCTCGGTCTGTGACACGTTTCTTGTTGAAGCTAGAGCACTACGGCTCTGGAGCACTATATACAACCTCCTTGACTATATAGCGCCTTCGGAGCAGAGTTGGCAGACTAACGCTGGAGTAGCGCAATCTAGAACGCCTCTTTGGGCGACTAGCCGGCTAAGGCGCGGAGGTTCCAACTCCGATCAGAAATGCATGGGGGACGTGCATAGGGGGCGTGAGAAAATCGCTGTTTCTTCAATATTGTGGGTATGTACGGAACGTCAATAGTTTTTGACATAATAAAAAAACATTTTAGAATAATTTTCGCTAAGTTGCGTGCCATGTAAAGGCGTAACTTTCTTTTTTTAAATATTGCCTGAGCGGCATCACGCAGCAGACGACGTGGCGACGTCACAAGACGTCGCACCGTCCACGTGACCGGCTCCGGCCAACCCAGGAAGTCCATCTCCGCTGCCTACAAAACTCAACCATTTCGTCGTTCACCCTGAGACTGGGTTTTTTTTTTTTAGAAGAGCAGAAGTAACAGAAAAAACAGACAGGTCTCAAACTCAGCTACAAGTTTATTTCAACTCGTCATCAACCAATCACATACGACTTGTCCTCTGCACCGTGACTTTACAGGTTCCACTCTATCACAAAAGAAGCGGACACTCCCGTCTCGTCTGCTTCAAAATACTCTATGACTTGGAAATTGCCTTCTCAAAATTTTCGCACGCATCCGATATTATGAAAACTTTGATAAAGTGTTTAGTACTTTACCAACTTCACAACAGACTAGTTTCGAAAAGTGTGAGGGTCGGGCGGGCCGCCTCCTGGACAGCCTGGAACCACCCTTCTATTCTCCATGCCTGGAAGTTGGAACCCTGAGTACCACGTGACTCGCGCTCGCGCTGCTCTGTCGGCCATGTTGTCGGCGAAACACGCGGATCAGAGGATTGCCGCTACTCTGCTCCTCTAGAGCTACACCCTGGCTACATCCTCCCTTCACACTCTGGCTCTGGCTCTGGCCAGAGCCGTATATGTAGAGAGTTTGGCCATTCGTTGGGAAGTATAGGAGACAAATGAAGCGGCGCCATTGGCCGAAAGCGGGCTGGGCGTGTTCCAGGGCGTCTTCAGAAATTCGAATGTGACCAACCAGAAGCCGGAAATAATACCCTGGCGGTGGTCGCGAGAAACAAACCTGATAACTGCATTGGAGTAACTCTTGATGGCTGAAAATATGGTACACGTGATGTTTCAATCACACTCATCTAAAATGATGGTGGAAGAGTGCGACTAGCGGAAAGATCGACATAATCCTTACGCCAAACGCCGAGCGCCGGGCATCTGCCGTCAGAGCGGTCACACTCTGTCCGCGCAAAACAGAGTTGAGCGGCGCATTCGTTTCTTACATCTTTCTGCATGATCATAATGAAACAACACGTGCACCCTATTTTCAACCACAAAGAGTTACTACACTTCACTCTTACGCACTTATTAAAACCATATACGAACATAGACCTTCGATGATCGATCGGCTCGATCGGCTCAGAACTGTTTCTCGCTACCACCGCTAGGGGATTCTTTTCGGCTTCTGGTTGGTCAAAAGAGCATGCCAAGCCCTCTTTCCGAGTCTGCCGCACGCCCTGGCTCTGCCCGCGCCTCCCATTGACCAAACTCTCTACATATACGGCTCTGGCTCTGGCTTCAGCCATCTATATTTTGAGCGTTTTTAGCAGTTATTAATTTATCGTGTTCGGTCTCGTGTCGGCCGTCTCCTCGGTCTCCTCTTCACCACTGATGGTCGCACGCACGTGTTTTTAACCTTTAACTCCATGTGGTCCTGTGATCTTGAGTCAATCACTGCCGCCGCACACCTGAACGGGAAGCAGGCAAAAGGGGCGCCAACTCCCAGGGCCTTTTAGATCAGGTGGCCGGCATGGCCCTCATCCTGAACTGTGTGAGCCGGCTTGAAGCTGCGGCGTGTCGACTGCCCAGGTTACTACACCTTGTGCGGAACGTCCCCACGCAGTGCAGCCACCGATCCCTATGGTGTGAGTATGGCCACGTCTTGCAGAGCGATCCGCGCTCAGCTTTGACTGGGAGCTCGACGGTTCTGTGCTGGTTCTCGGGGCAAAGAGAGTCGCCTCTCGTCACCCGGAGATTTGTGTAAGGCGCCGAGGTGAGTATCGGGCGCACGAAGCAAGCGTTTACAAAAACGCCGTGTACTTCAACGTAGGGTAGAAACCGTATGTAAGCGATTTGCGCACTCCACCTCTTTCAGAAATGCGGGTTCGAGAACAAATGGGTATATTTTTGTAGGATTTTCCTGCCCATAGATGATCCACTGGCCACAACTGTGACTTGTGGCTCGGTGGAGCCATGTTGCCGTTCTCGTGTGTACGAGTTCAAGGCGGGGACGCTTTCTCGGCCATCTCAGATGAATATTTGTAACACTGAAACAAAACCGAAATTTGTGCGAGCGCCGCGGTATCTACAAAGAGTAAAGCTATACGCACTACATAGTGCGACTCGACCGGAAATGGCTATACTCACTACGCGGAGAGCTCATGCCATTTGGGTCACCCTATTCGAACAGCGCGTGTATCACTGGGGAGCTCGTTAACACACACCCCGCCTGTGTTCATGCTGCTTTGTGGCGACAGTGTGCGGCTGCTAATTACAAGATTTCACCCGTACACGCCGCTTCGCGGCGTCCAGCCGGCAACCCAAACCCCTCTGTCTCCGATTGCACCTCCGGAAAGCAAGGGAGTCCCATACCATTTATAGTCGGTTACAAGTCAAGAAGGTAGGAGAAGCTCCTCTCACAAGCGTGATGCGCCCGTTTCAAATCTCTCCACAGTCGAAAGAAGCGTTCATTGGAAACGCTCCTTTTTCCGCTTGAATGAATTCCAACTTGTCTCCGATCCCACTTTTTAAGAAAGCGACCTTTGTATTCATTCGAGAGGGAACCGAGCCCCTGAAAGCAGCCTTTGTATCCATCGGAGGGGGAAGCTAATCCCCGAAAGTGTTATTTGTTTCCATCGGGGGGTCAGGGGGGCTGGGCTGGCGGAGGACTCTAATCTCCCTCTCGTGGCTTCCACAATGCTAAGTCAAAGTCGAAAGATAAAGCAAATATGTACAAAAGGCAAGACTCTTCTCGCGCGTTGGCCGCGACGTCACCGAAACGATGGGACGCTATTGGATACGGAGGTGGCGGAGGGATATATTATTCCCTTTGAGGGGCATTTGCCGCTACCTTCTTAACCTGTAACCGACTATAGTTCTGCAAAGTTTCGTCGACAACATTTTTTTTTTCAGCGTTGATTGTAAAAAAAGAAATGTCGTAAATATTGCCAAATGCCTCGACAAAACAAAATGTTTGAGAAAAAAAGAAGCAAAGTAGGCCCACACCACGGATCAAACCCGCGTCCACTTGTATATTGAAGCAGACACCTTACCACTATGCTATGTCACCGCTTAGAAAGCTCGTTGTAACCATTTGTTTTATACGAATTTCGAGTAGTGCGTATAACCCTTTCCGGCCGAGCTGCACGACGGGGTGCATATAGCTTTACTCATCTACAAAAGCTTTTGATCGAAATTTGTTGCATCAGCTTGTACACGCTCTGGCCGTATGAACTACAACGTGAAGTTCTGTGTGCGTGTTTTAATCCTGGGTGGCAGACTGGCAGGCACACCGCGTACAGTTTCTTGCTTTTTTTGCTCAGCCTATCACCCAGGGTCACTTCTCTTTTTTGTGCAAATTTATTATTATATGCATAGTATACTGCTATTTGTAAACTGTGTACCGCACGGATTTGCAGAGCCACATCCGTCGCACATGTACAGTCTGAAACAAAAGTCCCCAGAACACGAGAGCTGAAACTGAAACGCATTGCTCTGCCATCTGATTTCAAGATCGCACGTTGCAGGCATGTGTGTTTTCCCGCTCTTCTGCAGCGCCTAACCCAGAATTGGGCACATGGTGCCGCTTCGGAGATAGCACTTGTAAACTTCCTAGATAAGTTTCCTACAAGTAGCGACATTCTTTGAGTTGCCAACTGCGTGACGGTACAGGTTTTTTTAGAAAGCGAGTTGAGGCGCACAGCAGAAGACTGACTGAACTGAATGACGGCAGTTCGTTCCAGCGGAATGGGCTTTGTCGTTTGTATTGGTTGTCTTTACTTGTAAAAAGAAGTATAGAGATTTTTTATGGGGTATGGAACCGAAATTTTAGCGCCTATTTCTTTGTGTAAACATGGCCTCTTTTATGACAGCAGGTCAGAAACTCCAGCCTTTTCGTTCGTAAATACAAGAAAAGCAGTTTTAAAACCAATAAAGCAATTTCCCAACACCACGAGGCAGTTGGGGGGTCGAGTTACGTTGAAATGTCCGACATCGCAGACTCAATAGTAGCAGTTCCACGGCGTGGCAGTGTGCTATGGAGGCGCCCGGGAACGAGCGGCGCTTGGCACACCTCTCAGTTCTAGTACACCATTCCTCGGGTATTTCCACTTGGCGGGATTGTAACGCGCTGACGATAAAGGTGGCACCACCTAGTGACGATGATTGTAATTACGGTACCCTTGGCCGTTTATGAATTTGTGACATTGCGAGCGTTACGTCACGGGCAAATATCCTGAGACGCATGGCGCCGCCTCGATGGCTGATTTTAAAGCATTCGCCAGAATACGTCGGTTGGAACGAAAAATATATCCATCCGCTGAAAATACAAGCGTGTAATTATCATTTATTAATACCATGGATCATATTTCACCCGTTTCCAAGTGTTTCGGAGGTATACACCAACTCAACTCTCCTACGTCACGCCGCGGTGGTGGCGCGCCGGACGCACTTCCGGTCTGGGGTGGTGGGCAGAAGTCGCCGTGCCAGACATGCATTCCTGTGTTCCTTTGGAAGAAACGAGACAAAAAACCTGCCTTCTCGTCAAAATGCTGCGATGGGGGTTGTACCAAGAGAGTCTGGAAAGGTTTGAAGATCAGTTTTCATGTGTTTTTGAACCCTCCGTTTGTCCGAGAACGTGGATAGCAGCCAAGAAAAGGGCAAACCAGACGCTATCGAACTACGATTGCGTGTGCGGGCCACAATTTGTGGTCGCCAGATGTATTTGCTTTGTTCCAACATGAACGAGAGAAAACCCCCAAGTTGTCCGGACCACCCACGGATTCAGTGCGTCTTCAAATTCACACGGCCGCCTGATCGTTCGAACTTTCGTCTGCTCTTTCAAACTTGTCTGCTTTTTGTCGTCTGCTCGTTCAAACAAAAGTGGCCCGTAGACCAAACTTTGACCCGGTGATTGCAATAAGAAGTAATTGCAGGCCTCAAAAGACTTAAGTAGGCTCGGTGTAAACAGTAGATACAAGATGTTAATTATTGGTACCGGTGGCCATCGCCTACTTGTTACGCTTGGTCTGTTCCCGCTTCCGATTTTCAGTATCGACGTCGATCATCGCCGCTACCTTTTACACTTTTGCAGCACGAGCGACGTCGCGACCGAAAATAGCTACAAGAATCTCATCATGGTTTTGGCGTCCATTCTGCAGCGTTCATGCGAATGAATCGCCGCACGTCAAATTATTTACGGAAAGTTTAGCGGCGTAATGAGCCTTGATAATTTCGCTCAGGCGATTGAAGTGGTAAGACATTGCGATGAGGACGTAGAATCGACAACTCCAACGCGAAAACGAGTACGCAGACTCACACAGACGCCGACAACGTGACATTCGAATGGTTTGTTGACGCGGGACGCGGTGCTTCTTGCCCGTACTCCATTGCGCGTGCGTTCGAACTGTCGTCTGCTCTTTCAAACTTGGCTGCTTTTTGTTGTCAGTTCGTTCAAACGACAGCGACCCGTAAACCAAACGTTGACCCGGCAATTGCGATAAGAACTAAGTGCAGGCCTCAAAACACTTTTGAAGGTTGGCTGGGGTAAGTCGGCTAAGTGTAAACAGATACAAGAAGTTGTTGATCATTGTTACCAGTGGCCATCACCGACTTGTAATGCCCGATTCTACTTGCGGTTTTCAGTATCGATGTCCACCATCTCAGCTACGGTCCACGCTTTTGCAGTCCGAGCGACGTCGCGACTGAAAATAGCGAGCAGAATCTCATCGTGGGAGTCAGGCTTTAGCGCCCATTCTGCGGCGTCCACGTGAAATGAATCGCCGCACGTCACATTATTCACGCAAAGTTTTGCCTCGATAGTTTTGCTCAAGCCGCTCAAGTAGTCAGACATTGTTAGGAGGACGTAGAATCAACAATTCCAACGCGAAAAAGAGCACGGGGACTCCCACCGACGCCGACAACAACGCAATTCAATGGTTTGTTTATGGGCGACGGCGGGCTTCTTGCCCATCATCCACCGCGCATGCGCGGCGCCGGTGGCGTCCGCTAGGGGCACTCCGGTTTGTTTGTAAACATGAGTTGGTGTATATCAAGTTTCGATTCTATACCTTTTTTAAGGGATGCTGAATTGTAATTTAAATTTCGCCAAATAAGGCCCCAGAAGCGTTGGAACGGGACGTTACAAACTCCAAAACATCACTCGTACATCGGTATCTCAAAGGGATGGCTGCATTATTTGGGAAAGTAGGGCGCGATCAAGCAAGGACTATGATGTCATGATCCTCCAGGAACAGTTGGGAATAAGGGAAAGCAGCCTTGCTTCTCTTCTCCTCGCTTCGGTTCATCCTTCTTGAGGGGACGAAGTGAAGAGGGAATGAGAATCGCAATGTCGCATGCCTTGTCGGCCTGGTCGGCGGTGTTCAATCACACACTTCCTTTCCAAAAATATGGCTATCCGTTAGAGATATGCTGTATGAGTGATGTTTTGGGGTTTTGCAACGTCCCGCCTATCGCTCCAGCCTTGTTTTGTGAGCTCCAAAATTTCGGTCCAGCATAGCACTTGTGGCTGATGAGCGTCTGCTACGCATTTTTAAACGGCGTATCGCTAACCAATAGTGAGTCCGGTTTTGAATGTATGGTGATTTCACGTTTTTCTGTATATCGTGATTTTTAGGGAACGCTTTCTGATATAGCATGTATAAAGCAACAAGTCACGGCAGCTCAACTGAGCAATAAGCTCAACTGGTTATAAAGCAATGCACATTTACACGGCGAAATGTGGCGGAGTGCCAGGAGCAGTATCTCCAATTTCGGAATGCGTGGCAGGCGCTAGTCAGCCGCAAGCGCTAAATGAAGCGGCACCACGCACCCGATTCTGGGTTAGGCGCCATGCCACAGAAGAGCTTTCAGGCACAGTAGGACATACACGCTCTTTTGTGCAATCTGGAAACCAGATGGCAGAGCAACGCGTTTCAGTCGCTGCTCGTGTGTCCTGGAAACTTTTGTCCCCGACTGTACTTGGCCCACAGAGCATTGGCATTTCAGCGAGCAAAAACTTGGTCCAACTGCCTTTGAAGTACGGGCTACAGTGCTATGAACTGGTCCAATGTAACACCGGCCGGAGGGGCGAAATTCCACATGGGGTGTGTTGGTAGACTTGATAATCCGCTGTGGACTTCATACATCACTTGTCAGGCCATTTTAGAATGCCACACATTTGTTTTTTGTTCAGGATTGCAGATAAATTTCTTGTTCATGCCGGATGCACGGCTTATGATTTCTACCAATACCCTCCGTGCAGGAATTTGTGGCGGTCAGTTGTGATTTTGCTCTCAATGGCGTACTGTGCCTGGGCACTCCATTGGGGATTCTTTTTTCTAGACTGTGGCCTTGAGACTTTTGCTGTAAAGACAAAACAAACCATTGACACTTAGCCCCAGCCAGAAGTGACATCATCTAGAGCCTTTTTTATCAGTCCCTTTTTGGACACTGACCTGGCGAGTGTTTGGACAGTTCTGCGTGCGTTTTGTTTACTCTATTTTTTATAAACTATTGGTAGTAGATGTATCCCACTGAGGCAGTCTTTCTTACATTTTTATGAGCCAAAATTCATTTTGAGAGCATTTTCTATCATATCCAGGGAGAAATTGGGAATACCCGTGTGACCAAGCACCAGGCTTGGGCGCTAATTAAGATAAAAAAGTAGCTCCATTTGGCTACTAATAGACCAATCTGATAACCCTGGCAAGAATTGTGGCCAAATAACAGTGGGAAAAATGGGCTCCATATGGACAGTGCGTGTGGTTGCTCCCGGGAGTTTCCTCTCGTTGACCTTGCTGCCTTATTCCTTTTTGACCAGGCTTAGAGCGTCGCAAGGCTTACGGGTTCTCCTACGTCGAGCTGGGCAAAATTGTGCCGAGGTTGGGTGAGCCACCCGGGGGCTGTGTTGTGGCCAGGTTTTGCACCAAGGCCAATGTGAAGCCGGACGTCAAGGCAGGCCTCCAAGATGACTCTAGGGCAGACTTGCAGAGGCCACAGCTCAAAGACGAGCCCGATGAGCCTGTCAAGTTGAATGTTTTTCAGCGCTACAAGAAAATGTTTAAGGAGTACTGGTACGTGATGCTGCCGGTGCACATTGCTACCTCCATCGTCTGGTTTGGATCCTTCTTCTACCTGGCCACATGGTAGGAGCACATTCCAAAGGAAACTCGGGACACTCTTACATGCACTAGGAATGCTACAAGGAGCATCAATTTGCCTTTAAAGTCTTTTGAGCAAGGGCTGTTCCCTCAGTACCTTGCATGATAATTAAAGTCACACTAATTGACATCACCATCAAAATAAGCTGCCACAAGCTTTTCTAACAATTCCATCCTGCACGAAAGCTTGTAGAGATGCTTTTTCTCCATTAATTTGTCAAACCTATTTCTGCGCGATGCATGTTGAGTGTCCCGAGCGGCTGGATACGGTGCTTTGTCACAGTGGTTTTGTCTCCTGTTGACAGCGGGGTGGACGTAGTGCCCCTCCTGGAGTATGTCGGCCTGCCGGAGACCGTTATCAGTCCCCTGCGGAAATCGGGACTGGGCTACATTGCAGCGGCGTCAGCCATGTACAAGCTGGCTACACCGGCACGCTACACGGTCACCTTGGGAGCCACGTCGGTCACCATCCGTCTGCTGGTCAAGCGTGGCCTCATCAAGCCCATGCCTTCGAGCGACCAGCTGCGACAGATGCTCAGGGACAAGATGAAGCCCCAGTGATGCCTCTCCTCGGGGCCAACAAAGCACCTGTACATACGACGGCGCCCAGAGCTCGGCACAGCGGCTCGGCTCTGAGCCGTGGCACACGCTCTTGCTCCATGGCCTGGCAACGAGCCAAGGGCATCGAGAGTGGAATCAAATCCTGCAACTCCGAGAGCTTGACTGTAGACCATTGTCCAAGTTTGTGCATGCTCGAAACCATCGTTAGTTGTCACTAAATAAATGGGCATTGTTAGCTTTTGTGTGTGTGATGCATCTTTTACACAAGCGTGGTTATTCGAGGAAAGATAGAGAACTGACAATACTGTTTTTTTCTTCGGTAGCTATGGGTTTGACGTGGACATTGCTTGCTGTTTCCAAATTTATTTTGTGCAACACCGGCTAATGACAATAAAATCGTATGGGATAAATGACCGACAACTTTGGCTGCACCAGTTAGAATTAAATAATAGGTTGTGTCCTGCTGCAGGTTAAGGAATTGTGGAAACCAGCTCCTTCATATTGCAGGTTAAGGAAATTGGGACAAGGCCTCCCTCTGCTGGAGCAAACGCCGGAGGGGAGACGAGGAGGGACTCTCCAACGTCCGCTCTGGTGAAGGAGTGGAGGGCTTTCCTTGGCCTGCAGCATTGTATAGTAGGTCTAATGTGGAGGCTCGTAATTTGTTAGTGTTAAGATATTGTGAACAGTATATGCTTCAATGAGCCCATTTTCTTTAATTTGTTGGTTCAGTTTATGCTCAAATGTATGCCAGACCACCTCTACTTCTGCCAGCAGTTAATGTCAGAAGGGGAGGAGATGGCTGAATTAAATATACTTTTATTGATATCAAGTTGCCAGATACAATTACCCCATGTTCTGGTTCCCAAATTTTCCTCATCTTATTCAACAATACGACTTAAAACTCCAATATGTAGGTCATATAGACATTTACGAGTAAAAACCCCTCACCCATGGCCTGCTCTTCTGGTGGTCTGAAGACTCCTAAGCGTGGCGGAATGGGTCTGCAGCTAACTGCAACTTTTTCCTGAAAGTATGGCACTAGGTTTTATTGAATTAGGAGAGTGGAACGAAAGCAAAAGAAGTAGTGTTCTCCCTTACCCCCAGGCAATACTAACGTGCAAAACTGAGCACAGTGCCAACAGAAAAGAATACAGGCTTCGCTCCATTTGGACAAGAATTCAGGTGCCTTTTGGCGCACAGCTTCAAAAGCTGGTAACGCCGGTTCGCTCCATAGGACAGTATGCTTTCGCATTAATAGAGCAGAAAATATTGCTTTTGGACAAGTTTATTTATATTTGAGGTGGTGAGCAAGGTGCTAATCCTCAGAAAGGGTGCAAGGTTCTACGAACCAGATTCACATGGGGCTAAAATTAAACTACACTCATCGTTCCTCGTGATCGTGATAAATGACAGAATATACATGCATGGCATTCGTTTGTACGGGCCACCTGTTTGCATTCGATACTTCCAGCTAGTTTACTTGCTGGATGGACAAAGCTCCGTTCTGCCGTGCTGACTAAGGCTGATCCCCTTTTCATGCGATACTAAGGTCACTGGAGTGCAGATAATCTGCTTGCCTAGCATCATGTTTTTAATTTTTTTCACCCAGTGTTTTCACAACCAGGACCCACAATTGTTTGTGTCTATGCTGGGGAGCCAACTAAATCGTGGGGATAACTCAATCGGGTGCTGATTGGCCGCCCTCTTGGTCACGTGAGGCGACGTCAAAATGCACTTTTTCCCCAATGAGGTTGCAGCTAAGCTCCCGAAATGGTGCAGTTGGCGGTGATGTCAAAAACGTTACGATTCAGTTTGGCGATGGAGATAACTTTGTAGTTGTCGCAGCCTGACGTGGTCAGGCGGCCGGAGTCGCTGAAGTTAATGAAGATAATAATAATAATAAAAATTCTGAGGACACCTAAGCACTTATGTTGTTCTTCCGCTCCCTTAGTTCGTCTGCTGTGTACTGGCGTGGACGGCCACATTTCGCTACTGGCGAGGTTGCGGCCGCCGCCGATGTAGATGCCTCGGGTGCTGTCATGTTCCTTGGCGCCGAGAGGAGCAGAAGCGCCGCCATGTTCCTCAGCAACGCCTGACATGAGACCAACCAGCGGGCGCGCATTTACCATTCTGCACAATGCAGGAAGGTAAACATCATTTACCTTCCTACACCATGCAGGAGCACTATTTTGTGGCCCTTCCCCTTATCTCCCTCCACCTCCATGAACCCCTTGCTTCTGAAAAGTCCGACCCTGTGGATGGTGCATGCGATTGACAACAGAGGACAAGCTGTGGAACATTGAAAATCTGGGACGTGGCCACCTCTGCACCCCAATTAACTATGTGCTGCCTACCAGCTATGGTCACCCTGCTCAAACTTGAAGCCTGGCAGCTGTCGAGCCTGTTACGAGCGTCGTCTTTCAGCTCGTCACGTCTGTGAAATATTGGGTGTTTTCACCGACTTAATTTCGTCCACCATTTTGTTGTTGCGAGCTGTCTGGCGTGTGCCAAACTCGAGCATTTCAAGAATTTACATGCCTTCTCAAATGCGCACCGCTGACATCATTTCAAGCGGTTACAATGTAATCCTTCAATGTAGTAAATTTAAAAAAAAAAAAAAAAAAACTAACAACAAAATGGCGGTTTGACGTCATGTGCAAACAACCTATACTTGTGTGAATCCGCTTGCAATTTTGTCATACTTTGTAACTTGACCAATCTAGAAGACACGGCAAGTCCCTTTTGACTGCAGAGTGGTTTAGCAGACAGTCCAAGCAGCATTTGATTCTGTCGGGTCCTTTTATCGACTACCTTATGGATGAAGAAGCAGTTTGATACGAGCACACTTTTTTTTAGAGCGCAACTCTTCGGCGCCCGTTTCCGGCTTGAGCGGCATCGCCGTCGCCGTCACCATTGCCGTTGGCGTAACCGCGCATTGCATTATGGGATGTTTCCCATGATGACGCCACGAGGGTCACAAGTGAAGGTCACCACGAAGATCATGACCTTCACAGTGACCTTCACGAGGCCTTCACGAGAGTCACTAAGGTCGGGAGGGGGAGGAGGAGAGGGTACGAAGGAGAAGGCGGGGCATACCCTCACCTCCTCCTCAAGAGCTGCACTCTAATTCGGCATTACAGAAAATTGTAATTGCGTCTTTCATTTTTTTGTTTTTGTTTGACAACACGTAAAACAAAGCAAAACAAATCGGCTCTCCCACCTCACAACGAATTTCAGGCTGTTTCCACCCAGAATTGGACAAATTTCTTGCTGGAAATTAGATTTTTCCCCATCTAGCTGGGAAACTTCCAGGTGGATCATGTGCTTCCAAGCAACATTCATTTCCAGCTGTAAACAGGATTATACTTCAGCCTCTGTCGCACTTACTATCAAGTTCACAACTGCTTTCCCTTCTATACCGGAACTGACGTCAATGTTTCAAAGCTATTTTGAAAATAAAAAATAGGTGGCGCCCTAGGCGCTCCCCCTTAGGGAAGTATTCTCCCCTTCCGTCTTCATCTTTCCTTCGTTGATCGGAGCGACGAGTCGTAAGTTTCATCGCTCTTCGAGCCTTTTCTTTGTTCTCCGGAGATTTCAACCGATAGAACTCGGAGAGGCTCACTCTCGTCAAGAGATTGACTTCGCCTTCTGCGAGGTTTTAGAAGAAACTTTATCCGACCGCTGAGTAAACAATTTTGAACCTATTTGTCGCACGTCCGCTATCGGTGCTAGGCCTAAGTTCTCGGGCCCCGGCCTCGGACAAAGGCAGTGGAGTTTCAAGCAGCGGAGTTTTAGTGGCTTGAAGGACCCGTTCCCGCTCACGTCCTATGGGCTCCGGCTCCGGACAAAGCAGGACTATTTTCGGTTTACAATAGGGTCCGATCCCCCTTGTTGTTCTATGGGCCCCGGCCCCGAACAGAGGCGGCGATCTTAAACTACTTCCGGCGTCCTCGCTCGCGTCCTATGGGCTCCGGCTCCGGACAGAGCAGGACTATTTTCGGTTTACAATAGGGCCCGATCCCCCTTGTTGTTCTATGGGCCCCGGCCCCGAGCAGAGGCGGCGATCTTAAGCTACTTCAGGCGTCCGCGCTCACGTCCTATGGGCTCCGGCTCCGGACAGAGCAGGACTATTTTCGGTTTGCAATAGGGCCCGATCCCCCTTGTTGTTCTATGGGCTCCGGCCCCGAGCAGAGGCGGCGATCTTAAGCTACTTCCGGCGTCCCCGCTCGCGTCTTGGGAGCTGCGGCTCCAAACGACGCAGCGCGGTCTTAGACAGTCACAAGGGCTATTCAATAAGCCAAACTGTCCGATCCCCCTTGTTGTTCTATGGGCCCCGGCCCCGAACAGAGGCGGCGATCTCAAGCTACATCCGGTGCCCCCACTCGCGTCTTGGGAGCTCCGGCTCCGGACGACGTGGCGCGTTCTTGAACAGCCTCAAGGGCCACACTTAGCACCTTTATCCCTTTCGTTCGACAACGGAGATCAGTGCGGCGGTAATCGTTTCTAACCGATATGTGACTTTCTTGGGCTTCTCAGATGTCAACCGCCGAGATCGTGGAGCTCCAACGAACGGTGGCGAACATCGCTACTTCGGTAGCGGTGCTCACCAACCGCCTCCCTCCGTTAGCCACGGAGGATGTCGAACTCCGACATAGTGAGCGGAGCAACTCGCCAGACCTGGACCCTTTGGGTCCCGCTGACGAGCCCCATGCCTGGTTGGGGAGACCGACGGAGGGCCGTCCCCGGGAGGTGGACCCTGCCCTCCTCGACTTCCTCAAAGAGCACTGGGGCCCCGAAGGGCGCGCGGAGCGGTGCAGGGCGGCCCTGACGAGCTTCCCGCGACCGCGGCTCCCCTTCGCCACAGTGCCGGAGTTAAATCCGGAAATGAAGGCCCTGGCGAAGGAGAGGAGCCGCCGTCCAGAGGGTGGCTCGGAAGGGCCCGCCAACGTCGCTGCCCGGGACCAGGCACTCCGAGAAAGCCAAGACGGAGTGGCCGCTGCTATGGGGCCACTGGTTGGCCTATTAGAGATTGGCCTCACGGAGGAGGCCATTGATAGAAAGACGGTGGCTGACCACGTGGGGGCAGCTACCGCCCATCTCGGGCGGCTCTTCGCGTCGCTCTCCCGCGAGCGCCGGGAGGGGGTGATTGCACGAGTGGCCCCAGACCTCCGCCAGATGGTGGCCCATGACGGCGGGGACGAGGGATCCCCACTGCTGTTTGGAGAGGGCTTCCTGGGGCAGCTGCGAACGCGGAACGAGACCATCAAGGTCCTCCGGGAAGCCCGCCAACCGCCCCCTCCCGCCGCGGAGCCAGCAGCCAAGAGGTCCCGCAGCTCGGCTGCCCCAGGGACCAGTGCCCAGAGCCGGAGTGTGGGCCGGCAGCCCTTTCACGGGGGGCCCCCTTCCCGAGGCTACACGAGGGGGGCCTACCTCCGCCAGGGACATCGAGGCAACGGTAAGCCCGCACCTCTTAGCACTGCCGCCCGCGGGCCGACTGGCATATTGCCGCGAAGCGTGGAGGTTACTCACCCACGATGCTTGGGTCCTTCAGACAACACAGGGGTACAAGCTGGAGTTTGCACAGGTACCAGCGATTCAAGGGTTGCACAACGTGCCGACCCGAGGGCAGTCAAATCAGGTCCGGGAGGCAGTGTCCGAGCTGGTCAGAAAGGGAGCGGTCTCTCGGGTACCACCCTCCGAAGTGAAGTTCCTCTCCCCCTTCTTCATAGTACCAAAGAAGGACAACAAGATGCGCCCAATTCTAGATCTCCGACAACTAAACGAGTCGGTGCAACACAACCACTTCAAGATGGAGGGGTGGCACTCTGTGAGGGATCTTATCCAGCAGGGCGACTCCATGATACGTATCGACCTGAAGGACGCATACCTGTCTGTCCCAATCTGCCACCAGGACCGCCCCTGGCTCGGCTTCCGAGAGGGGGACAGGGTCTACCGTTGGAACGTGCTGCCATTTGGCCTCAGATCGGCACCGAGAGTTTTCACAAAACTACTGAAACCAGTCGCGGCCTATCTCCGGTCCAAGGGACTTCGCATTGTCATGTTCTTGGACGATATCCTTGTCATGGACCAGTCCCCCTCCCTACTCGCAAACCAGGGACATCTAATCGTGAACCTCCTACAAAACCTGGGTTTTGCCGTAAACTTGGAGAAGTCGGTACTGACACCAGCCCGGGACTTGTTGTTTCTGGGACTATCGATAGACTCGAGACGATTGACGCTCGAGCTCCCTGGAGAGAAACTCGCCAACCTGTTAGACCACCTACAGCAGAGGCTAGAGCAACCGGTGATCTCGGCCCGCCAAGTCGCAAGCTTGGCGGGACAACTGAATGCATGCCTAATGGTACTGCCGGAGGGTTCCTTTTATATCAGGAACCTTCAAACAGATTTGAGACGGGCCCTACAGAGAGGTACATACACGACCACTCTTACACTATCCAGGGACACGCGGCAGGACTTAGCGTGGTGGATCCGAGCACTGAGGAAGACCCCAAGGGGCCAGATCAAGACACCCCCAGTAGTACAGACGATACAGTCGGACAGCTCGCTGAAGGGGTGGGGAGCATGCTCGGAGGGGTGGACGATCGGGCATCACTGGACACCACTCCAATCCACTTGGCACATCAATGCCCTGGAGCTGATGGCAGCCTTCCTGGCCCTTCAGGCGCTGGCAAAGAATGTGTCTCGGGGCTCCATCCTCCTCGAGCTAGACAACACAGCAGCAGTAGCGGCCATCAACAGGAGGGGCAGCACCTGCTCTCCACAACTCACCAGGATAGCCCACGAGCTATGGTCGTGGTGTTGGGCGAGGGGAATATCAGTCAGGGCGCAACATATTCCGGGGCACATGAACACGGATGCAGACCAAGCATCCAGGAGAGTGATGGATGCCAGCAGTTGGAAGCTGTGCCCGTTCACATTCAGCAGGATCAACTGTCTGTGGGGCCCCGTGCTCACGGACCTTTTTGCAGACTTCTCCAACCACCAGGTGAGGCACTACTACAGCTGGAAGCCGGATCCTCAGGCGGCAGCAGTGGATGCTCTCAGCCAGGACTGGACGGGTCAGGGCCTCTATGCCTTCCCACCGTTCAGCCTTGTGAGCAGATGCATTGCCAAGTTGCAGAGCTCCAACAGTCCGCTCATTCTAGTAGCTCCAGTTTGGCCATCTCAGCCATGGTATGCCTCGCTGCTGCACCACTCATACGAGGAACCGCGTCGTCTTCCCCAATCACACGACCTACTGCGCAGCCACGACGGGCAGGTACATCCAATGCTCAGCACGGGGAGCCTGACACTAGCAGCATGGAGACTGACCAACTCCAGCAAACTCGTAGCCAACTTTCGGAGCAGGCTGCACACCTCATTGAGGCATCATGGAGGCGGGGAACACAGCTCACCTACACCTCTTGCTGGCGCAGGTGGGAACGCTGGTGCCATTCAAGGACTGTTGATCCCTTTTCTCCCACTTTAACACAGGTGCTCAACTTCCTCGCTAGCCTCTTTAAGGAGGGCCTGGCGTATCGCACTATAGGGTGTTACCGTTCTGCCTTGTCTCAGATCTTGCATAACTTTGACGGTTGCCCTCTAGGGGAACACCCATCAGTTGTGCGCCTTATGAAGGGAGTGTTTAATTCTAACCCCCCCAAACCCCGATACCCCACAACTTGGAGGGTTGAAACGGTGACAACCCTCCTGCAGTCGTGGGGTCCTAACAAGGATCTTAGCCTCAAGATGCTCACTAGCAAGCTAGCTATGCTATTAGCCCTTGCCTCAGCAGGCAGGACGTCAGACTTGTGCCTGCTTTCAACATGCCACATCCGTAAACAATCCGCGGGTTGGGAGCTTGGGCTCAGTGGCCTCGGAAAGACTTCTGGGGCATCTAAACCCCTTCCCACCCTCTTCTTCCCAGCATTCGAAGAGGTTCGGGAATTGTGTCCAGTGGAATGCTTGCAGGTGTACCTCGAACGAACTGCAGGACTCCGAGGCGCCCACACGCAGCTTCTGCTCACTACGCAGAAGCCTTTCCGCCCAGCAGCACGGGACACAGTAGCTCACTGGATAAAACACACACTAACGCTTGCGGGCATTGACACGTCGGTTTTCAAAGCGCACTCAACGCGAGGAGCGGCCACCTCCAAAGCTGTGGAGGTCGGAGTACCACTTGCCGACATCTTAGCAGCAGCCGACTGGTCCTCCGAGGCGACATTTAACCGCTTTTACCGACGGCAATCAGATACCCGGGCTCACTTTGGAACCCAGGTGCTGAGAACACATGCGAAAGCTTTGAACAAGCAGTTGTGAACTTGATAGTAAGTGCGACAGAGGCTGAAGTATAATTACCAGTTCTGACGAATGGTACTTACCTGAAGTTAGAGCGGGAATTATACGAAGCCTATGGAAGCACTTACTATCAAGTTCACACTCCCACCACATCCCTGCCCATTTTCGGGGTAAATTATCACATTCTCTTCCCTGTCGCAGGTCGAGGTGGTTCAACATGGCACCAGAGGTAACGCATAGCGAGAGCTCCAACCAGGTGCCATCACCAGAACAGGAAATAAAAGTGTTCTGAGTGCACAAGTGCCTCTTTCTTGTGGGGGCCCCACCATCGCAATGCAGCCGCAAGCTGTGCTGTAACCATTAACTCGGAAAGATGAAGACGGAAGGGGAGAATACTTCCCTAAGGGGGAGCGCCTAGGGCGCCACCTATTTTTTATTTTCAAAATAGCTTTGAAACGTTGACGTCAGTTCCGGTATAGAAGGGAAAGCAGTTGTGAACTTGATAGTAAGTGCTTCCATAGGCTTCGTATAATTCCCGCTCTAACTTCAGGTAAGTACCATTCGTCAGAACTGGTAATTTCCAGCTGCTGCTGTATAATGGACCTTTTCCGAGAAGCGTTCTGCGCACGCGCGAGCGCCCGATGCCAAGCGGTGGAAGTCGGCACGAAAAAATCGAGGAAATTCGGAATGAGGCTGTAAATCGACGAGTAGAACACGTAATTGCAGCATAAATATAATTGTGTTACACAAAAAAAGAAAGTGGACGGAAAGAAAAACACGACGTTTGGGTGGACGCTACGGATTTCCTTCTTTAAAGTCGCGCTAGGCCTACCTCGATGCGTTGGGCACGCGACGCTGCTCAGAGAGCGAAGCAACTGGTAACGTAGCTCCCATTATCGATGGTAGCGCAGGTAGGTCACTTCCTTGATTTTTAGTTCGTGCAGCCACCGCCTGGTGCCGTCGGTATTTGGAAAAGGTCCATTTAGCCGAAAATGCGGCCGGAAATCTTTATTTCCAGCTGGAAGCTGCAACTTATTTTCATGTGAAATGATAAGCCGGCGGTTGTCATTCCTTCTTTGAGCTTCAACGGAGGGCCCTTGGCCGCCGCTCGATCAGAAATACTACAGTTACTAAGGCTTTTTTTCTACTTTATTGTAGTTAGTTTCGTTTTGACCTCAGAATGGAACGCACCATCGCTATGACATCAATTGGTGTTTGAAGCGTTTGAAGTTTCACCAGTTTCGTGCATGTGCCAGTGTTGCCAACCGTAGGGTAATTACCCTACTTGTAGGGTATTTTAGGCATTTTTGGTACATTGTAGGGTTGTAGGGCCGTCCGGCCATTTCCCTGCCAAAAGTAGGGTATTTTCAGACGTTGCTTCTTCAACGGCAAGCATAATACAAAAAAGTAAAAAAAAAGCTGATGTGCAAGCTTTGCATAACTTAACAACCCGTGTGCTGCCACACCACGACATCATGCAAAACGAAAGTATCCAAGTTACAAGACGTGCTAACAGAGTGCACCACACACCAAGTTAGAGTAAAGTCCCTCGATGTTTTTTGTGGAGAGTTTTAGAAAGCTGGAGTAAGTGGGAGGAGGTGGAGTTGCGCATATGGAGTTGCGCATATGGAGTTTGGAGCCAGAAGAGGTATCTTCCCAGTGGAAATGTTCCCGCCAATTTTTTTCTGATGACTCTGGTCCATCCGGCGACCGTTGTTACACCTGCGAAACACGTGGCACCGCGGGCAGAACCAGGCCGAGCCCACCAGAACCGGCAGCCACCTGTTCAACTGGAATTTTCTACGCGCTGGCTTGAGGTGCGCATGCTGCAAATAACCGAACTACCACTCGTACTGGGCGCTTTTTTTGTTATGGCGCATTGCAATTAACTCTTCTTACCACGCCCATAGAGCACTGATCACGGGTGATCGACGAGTACGGAAACCGATTTCAAAGCTCCCGCGGAGCTTCCCGGCACGTTGTGCAGTCGGTAGGCAGTTTGAAGACTGTCTACCGACTGCGCAAGTAGTTGGGACTGGAGGCGTTCACTTGAGTGAACGACGTTTTAGCGAACAAAGTCGAAACCATCACGTTTCATCGAATGACACATTAGCGAATACGGAAGAGCCGCCGCTTTCCTATCCTCCCCCGGTGCAATAGCAGCCTGGTTTGTCGAAATATTACCTTATATAGTTTGACGAATCCCTAGGCGGTTCACCCAAAGAATACGCTAATATACCGTTCCGATTAGCTTCCTTTTGTAATGAGCCGCCTTGTCTGTCGCCGCGAGTGCTGGTCCCACGTAGCCCAGTTTTTAATTTGATGACAAATCAGCTAAACATGTTGGATGGGGATGTCTGTGCACTCGAAGTAACACTGTTGTGCTGATGCTACACAGCGCCCATGCAAGCATGGTGTTCTAGAATAACCCAGGTATGCGCGTGCATGCGTGCCCTGTCGCTTTGTACTGTATTAATACTACCCTACATCAGCATAATTCATGCAACAACATTATTTTAACACAGATTTGCCTCGTAGGGTAGAATGTAGGGTAATAAGAAATATTCGTAGGGTAACATAGGGTTTTCTGGACGCTGGCGTGGGGTATTTTCAAAAAATAGGTTGGCCACACTGGCATGTGCTCGGTAAGTACTGCAGGTAAGAAATGCTCAAAGACGTAAAATAGTGTCAATTTCTTCAAGTTTACCAACGTTCGAAGGTTCTTTACACTATCAAAGTGTTCAAGAAAAGCCTGGAAAACCACGACACGCTGGGACCAACGAGCAACTCCGTCCGGTGGCAACTAAGGTGAGCATAAGGTTTTCCTTTGTTCCTCAAACTCGCTGAGCCAGTTCTGAATGTTTGCTAAAATAGTTTGTCACCGAACTGTGCTTGCTTACGTTTCCCCCCAAAAAAGCGCCAAAAAACACAAGGACGAGGAAGTAGACCTTGAAGTAGACAGACTAGAGTGCCTTCATGTTCACTTAAGCACCCTAACTGACAAGAGCACAAAAAAAGTCGCTTATCGTCCTCGTAGTAAAACATATAAAATAGCGCAACAGAAACAAGGACAAGAAGTAAACAGGACAGGCGCTAACTTTCAACTAGTTTTATTCTGGAAAATCGAACACATATATACACACGACAGGCAAAGCAGCACCACGTAAAAGTTGATTAATTTTTCACCCGATCATTCAATAACTGAAATTCATTACAATGAAGGACAATAGAAGTGTCGCTGACACATGCCGTCCCACTTTTTTTGATAAAGAAAGCTTCCAATAGCTCTCGAGCGACCGTCTCTCGGCTTCTTCCTAGTATCCGCATCTGCTGAAGTCGCGGACACAGCCACACGTGTTGCAATGTATAGGCAAATGCGAGCCATATTTATTTTTTACTGATAATGCGTGCTCCCGTGCTCGGTCATTGATGCACCGCCCCGTCTGGCCAATGTATAGACCGTTTTACTGAAAGAGGGCGAGAGAGAAAAGGGGAAAGGGCTACCGGCGCTTTCCCCCTTTCTGATTGTGTAGAAAGAGTGAAAGTCCCGGATGAGAGGCTTCACCAGTGTTGGGTGTCTGCTGTGCGCGAACTTCGTTAGCGCTTTCTTTTTTGTTTTAAACTCGCAAACTTAATTAAAGCCAGAGGCTTCGATGGCAACAATCGC